TAATTCTTTTTGAGGAGAAACAATAGTAACTGATTTTTAATATTCATTTCGTATAACTTGGATATACTAGAGAGAAGACTTACCCCTCTATAGTTCTCATAGCTATTTGAGTCTCCTTTTTTAAAGATTGGGGTAACGATTGCAACTTTTAATTTCTCAGGGAACATTCCTCGTTCCATAGACAGGTTTATCAGATAGGTCAGAGGTTAGACTATTTCTTCCATGCATTTTTTTAGAAGATTGTTTTTGACTTGATCATATCCGCTAGCATTAGAATTATTTAATTCATTATTTAAATCAAAAACCTCATATTCCTTGATTGGGTGGAGAAATATAGAGTTTGGGCAGAGTGCGACTATATTTTCCATAAAATTTAGGTCATATTCTCTTTGTTCTTCCGCTTTCGTGAAATGAGCATTAAGATTGTTAACCATGTCATTACATGACACCTCATGTTCTCCACTAAAAATGGAAATATCTTTGGGCTTATAGTTTTCTTTCTGGATATTATTTATAGTTTGCCACATGGTTTTTGATTTATTGTGAGAACTGTTTATCTCATGCTCAATGCATCTTTGATTATTCTGTTTTAGTTTATTCCTGTATGTTATAGTTACTTGGCGACATATATCTTATATATACCTATATCTCAGTGAATACTTATTTAGTTTAAACGAAATAAGCGCCATTTGAATCAGTGCACTATGGCCAACGTAACACATACATTTTTAGACATGTCAAAAAATTCTAAAAGTGGGGGCCCCACAATAATGATAATAATAATTGTGAAGTGGACTCGGGAGGAGCTGTATCAACTTGACGTAAAGGCCCGAAAAAATATACATCTCTATAGGAGTTTGCCCGTACCATGATTGTACTTCCCACGACAACAGGGAGGCCATGGACGTTTGATTTTGGAGTGTCTACATGACAGAATACTACTGGATATAGTCTGTGAAGTCGTCAGGAGTTCGGATCCCCTTCTCTGCATGGTCCGTGACCATGAAAGAGCAGGAACTCGAGCATTTCTCTTTAGGGCAGCTGCCCGAGCAGCTGATGAACTCGGTTTAGTTTTCGATACTGAACGAGGTGACCACAACTCTGTCACCGAGTTGGAACCCGTTCAGCAAAAAGCTCATATAAAAGCCGCAGAGATTACCTCACTTCTGCGGAAACACAAGGATAAGCCAATGCATGGGGTCTTCTTCAATAACATTGGAGACCTTGGCTTATCAAAGCGCCTGACGTTTGCTTTCCTCAGGTCGAGTGGGCTGAAGTCGGAAACTGAGGCAGGCAGGAAAAAATTCTGTGACTTTTTTGAAATTGAGGTGGACACCAGTACCAAAACAAAAATGATAAATTAGCCAAATGTATACCATGTTTTCAAAAACATAATAAAAGTGTTTTCCTTCTGGGTTAAAAAGACACTTAAAAGCAAAGCATGGGATGTTATTTGACAAAGTGTTTTCTCAAGGGGTACCTGATCGAAGCAAGTTTCAATATTCTGCGTCTGGTGAGGGTGGTAGTAGATAACAGTATTTTAGATTGGATGAACCGAAGTCAGAGTAAAGAGAATGTTAGTTGAGATTCAATACAATAGTGTTGAATTTGTTATTCAAAATAAAATCTAAGATCAGGTAAATATCTTTTATTATTTTCAATTTACATTTTTGTATAACGTTTTAGCAAAAAAAATTTTAATAAATTGAAATATGTCATGTTACGTTAATATATATTATCTTTCTCATAAATAAATACGTTTTAGAGTTTTCATTGTATAGTCAAGATATTTCGAAATTTGTTGTTTTCTTGACGAGAACTCTTGGTATCGACATGAAATTTCTTGTCTTGTCTTGAAATCTAAAATTACTTCTTCTTCTTCTTATTTCTTCTTCCTCTTCTTATTTCTTCTTCCTCTTCTTATTTCTTCTTCTCCTACTTCTTCTTACTTCTTATCTCGATTTCAAGACAAGATCTTGAAATTTTCAAGAACTTGTCGACCCCTTGTCAATTCAGTAATTTGTCGACTATATTTCATTTAATCATTTTGGAAACCATTTTTCACCTCAGGAGGAGAAAACCATTAATGTCAAAAATAATTCTATAGACGATGTTTTGCTAATATACCTAAATACAATTTTAAGAAAATCACTTATTTCGTCCTGATTAGGTATTCACCACTAAAGGCCGGTGTAGACGGCAATCAACACGACTCGTCTTTTTTTATTTATTTTCATTTGAAACGTGCCTCCGCATTACGCATTTTGTCGGAAATTCGGATGATACAAAGAGATCCGTCGGCTATGTTTTCGGAAAGCGTGCAGGAATCCCAGAGTCGTTTCTATTGTTAGTTCAAATTGTCGATTGTACACGGACCGTTCAAAGAAATCGATGGATTTTCAATGAGCAATTAACACATTTGAAATGCGTTTTATTGTCGGTACATCGTCGACATGCCTACTAACCGATTCTTCATATCCTCCTTGAATATTAGAAAGGGAAGCACTTAATATTAATGCATTTAGGTACTGTTTTAATTCTTTTGAATAATAATTGATATGGGCCCCAAAACTCTCACAGTAAACGGAATTTCTCCAACTGCCTTTTATCTTCAAAATATTCAATTCTACAATATGGAATTGCCAAAACGCCAACCTTGAATTTCATTTATTTGACTTTCTTCAAACACAGCACAGATCATTTCGCTTTCATAAGTTAGTTTTATCAAAATCTGAAGCACATGCTTTTTTTCTCAGTTGGCTAATGTGTTTATTTGTCATTAGTGTCAGTTGTCATGTTACATATTTTCATGTTTACGCCGTTACCCCAACTGAATATTACGAATACTAATGACGAATGAATGGAATGAATAAAGCAAATATTAGATTGTTACAAAAGCATTGTACGTTTCTATGGATCTATTTTGAAGTGTAATATCTCAGTAAATACTTATATTCAATTTTGCCAACGTAACACTTCGACGCTCAATTCGTAAAATTTTCAGACGGTGATTTGTGAAGCGTGTGGGCGTTTGTTGTCGTGAAGCTGGATGGGACCTCTTCTGGTCCCATCCAGCTCCTGGTTTGGCCTGATTATAGAAAGTTATAGATAGTGAATGACACCAGTCGCTGAGCACCATTTCAATCATAAGGTTCCACTCTCTCTTCAATTGAATAGTAACACTTGCACTATTTAACGAATTACTGTACAGTGGGGAATGTTCCTCCTGACGAAAATCAAGTAGTTTTCATAAAAGACCTCTAAAACAACGCATTTTAAACTTATCATTTCAACCTTTTTCTTAACAAAATTATTTAAATGCTTAAAAAAGAGGAATGAAATAATGCATTCAACATTCAAAGGGATTCGTTTCTATTTCACCATTTGGCAACATTTGTTATAGCTAATAAAGGACAATGAATCTGTTACCTGTATGAGACAAACAAAGATGACATATTTCAGAGGCGTGCTGTTCTGTTTACTTATGTTTCGAGTTCCGAGACATTCTGTGACATATAACATTTTGTGCACCTAACCTATCTTCCTTTATATAAATAAATAACAAAACAACTGTTGTTTATGTGGTTGTGGAGATGGTATTGAACTATAATTTATATTTTGCCTCAATTGTTGATTTCTAAAGATAATTTTCCTTTTTTAAAGTAGAATATCTAGGTACGTATAAATTATTTTAACTTGATATATTATATGCAAGGTAAAATATTTTTAGGAATGACAGGTAAAGTTCTAGGCGCTGTTGCCAATATGTGAAATAGAAGAAAAGCACGACTCAAGCATACAAAATGCTTAGGTGCAGTCTCGTCAACCAACAGAAATGTATCTTCATCTGAACACTGTATCTGAATAAATCTGAATAATCTTTGCTTTATTTTTATTAATTTTATCCCTTCAAGAAATCACGTCAGATATTTGTTGACGTGATTGGCAATATTTATGAAAGTTTGTGAAACGATATTCTCATGAATCAAAGGTAGACAAATACAGTAATAATACCTAGATAAATTACTTCGAACTTGAATCTTCTGGTGGTGTACTTCGGAGTTTCGGGACAAAAAATCTGTGTTATCTCCTCTTATCAGTAGCGTTTTTTAATAACATTTCATGTTTGAAAGAAATGACTGCTTCATCTTGTTTTGTATCAAAAAATGTTGCTGATGAAACAGATGTTCTGCCCCGAAACCTGGAAGTACAGCACTAAAGTAGTTCTCCTCAGTGATTGAGATATGGGGGTGGATTCATGAAAAGCAAACATACCGTATTCGGTGTTATCGGTTGGGTAGTATTTTTTTCATGACAGTAATAACTTCATAGTCTAATCTCTTATTATTATTTTTAAAGGTGATGCTGTTTTTCTCGTTTGATTCAATTATTTTCCCATTTAGACCACCCCGAACGGGGTGAATATAAATGTGACAACATCGTCCCCGATGAAATCTGCCGAAATCAAATGTGACAGCCAAAAATCCGGCCGCATTAAATTTAATTTCCCTCCATGAATGGCATTATGGCACATCTAATGGGTCTGTTGTACAAACTCAGCCCCGAGCGCCGTAAATTAATCGGGAAGTAAATTTCTCTGTCAAATTATGTAAATGCGATTGCCGCGACCGATTCCACTCATGCCTGTTGTGCTATTGTGTACACGATCATTTTGCACCGATGCCTGTTTAGGCATTGTTCGGAAATTATTGACTTCTGTTGAGAGCTACAATGTAAGGGGTGAAAATGAGGCGAAGGGGGGTGATACAAATGTTGATACGGACGTAAAATATATTCGTGAAAATGATGTAACAAAAAAATAAACGGATATGGTATTGTAAATTGATATGGCATTTTTTTATACACCTACTCAATATTTGAAACCATATTCAAAACGGAATTTTTCTGATATAAAACTTTTACAATAGATCAAGCTAGTACAAACGTGACACCTGGTATATTTTTGGTAAGAAGATTGAAAGCTATATAGAAGTGAAGAGTATTGTTCAAATCAATCTTTATTATCAGTATAAACTTTAATTATTTTAGAAAACTCTTGCAAGTCATTTTTTCGCTCAAACTGTTCTAGATCCAATCTCGTTTTCAAAGCTTTAATGTTTTCTTCCGCTAATTCAAGTTGATCTCGTAGGCTGCCATCTCTCGGCTTGGTACAAGAAACATTCGAACTGTATCCTGAGCGACATGTATTTGATTCGAGTTCCAGTCTAGCTGCAGCAGCTTCTGCCTTGGCTGCTCGTTGTTTTTCTACTCGCAGAATAGCTTGCGTTTTAGCGTGTTCCTCTCGTTCAATTTTCAGACGATTATTTTGTTGTTCGATCAAATCTAGGAGGCCTAGCGTTCCAGGTTCTGATATATCCGACTTTTCACATGTCTTCTGAAATAAAACGCAACTTATGATAACGGAAATCAATAAATGTTTAAAATTATGAATGGACTGAACCGTTACTTGATGAACATTAATAACACTATCCATGATGATAATTACACAACTTTCACAAACATTTGAATTTCCAGGTGCGTTTCGCTAACACCGTAGCTTCTCAGTTCAGTACCGAGGAAGATACGATGTTAGCAAAACGCGTCTAGAAATTGAAATGTGAATATTGTGTTATTACTTTCATGAATAACACATTTTTGATTAATTCGCACCGAATTCACAATCACGAAGAGAAATCTCACCTTTTGCTCAGACTCCGTCAAGTTGACTTCGTTCTTTCTCTCGACTTTTTTCGAAAGTTCTTCTTGCAAATTTTTAATAACGTTTTTGTATTCTTCAATTTCGCTTAAGAGTTGTTTCTTCTCTTTGTTGAGTTTGCCAATGGCCCGTTCTTTTTGATGAAAGGTTTCGTTCATGGAATTTTTTGACGAGGATATTTGTAACTGAAAATGAATTTCATTGAATTTTTTATTGATACTGTGCTCGTATATAATCGTTCGCAATTGAAATAATGAGCGATCCAAACCCAATTAGTTAAATAAGGTGTTGAATAATGGGATGTTGCTTTTGAAAAATGATAAATATTTCTAGTAAAGATGCATGGAAACAGTTTTGTGCGATTGCTATTAGTAATGGGTTACATAAGTAACACGGATGATGCATCTTGAAAAAAAAAGAACATATCTTGATTTCAGAATATTATGATTTCAATATTCACATTAACCCTGAAATAGTTTTCAAAATTACTTGGAATTATACATAAAATTAGTTTCTATATGAGTAGAAATAATAATGCCTCAATTTTGGACCCTCTGACGAATGTACTTTTGGCGACATCTGGTGGATAAATGGAGTGTCACTTCCCTCAGTTCTCAAAATCAAAGTATTCAGTCATTGTCTAAGTATTTAAATCCTTAGACAATGGTAGTATTTTGATATTGATGACTTGAGTAAGGTTTTCTGAATGTTTCTGAGACAACCACGAGAGGAACTGACGTATGAGGAATATTGTTTATACTAAACACAACTTTATTCTAGCAAATTCACCGATGTACTTCATCGGTGAACTTCAGCTGAAAGGGTAAGGGAGCTGGGCTCTAACCTGAATGAACTGAAGACGCTTGGTCAAAATTACTATAAGGTAGAAGATAAAGAGGAATGCTAACCTATCAAATACCTGGCTGGTTATCTCTGAGAACAAGGTTAAGATGACAGATTTGTTTTTGTTGTATATTGACGTCACATTTAAACCAGAAAAACCCAGAGTATCCTTATTTTAAAAAATCCCTATTTTTGTCCAGTATATACGTTTCCGCAATAAAGATGCAACAAAGCCCACATTACGACAAGTTCATATACGAAATTCCGTACGACGTAAAGAAGAAATTGATCAACATTTTCGATCAAAACGATTCATGGGAAAAATTGGGTACTTACATGAAATACGATAGAGTGCGACTTGAAGAAATCAAGAGAGTAACGCTGGCAGGAAGATCTCCGACATCGGAGCTACTCGATATTTGGGGCAACCTGAACCACACTGTTTCAGAGCTATTCTTCCTACTGTCCCACATGAAACACTATGAAGGTATGACCGTTATCAAAAATCTTGTAGACAAACAGTACCATGGTTACATTAAGAGCCCCGTACAACAGTTAAGCCCCAGAATGAAGCAGCTATTGCTGGAAAGAAAGCTCAACCATATTGACACTGGGGTCCATCCAGACAATTTCAACGGAGAGTCCGAAAAGATACTAAACGTACCAAAAATATGTTCACCTACACAGCCTGTAATCGACAGCAAAGAAAACAACGAAAGCATGGTACCTATGCCCAGGTCACCTGTTAACTATGGCAGGACAAAGATGTTAACGGCTTCTGACATTTCTTGCGTGGTCGAATCAGCAGGTGGGATTCCCTCCATCCCTTATGAAGAACTAGGGGAATCAACCAATAACTGGTCTGAGTATAACCTTCTAGGTAAAGGAGGCTTCGGGAAGGTTTTTAAAGGCACGTGGAAGTACACGCAGGTGGCCATCAAAAGGCTCGAAAATAAAGAGGACATGCCGGGTATGGAGCTGGAGCAGATCAAACAGTCGATTACTGAATTGCACTGCCTTAACTCATATCGGCATGATAACATTCTACCTCTGTATGGGTACAGTATAGGGGGCTTACATCCATGTCTTGTTTACCAGTATATGGCAGGGGGCTCGCTAGATAACAGGTTGAGGATAAAGGACAATAGAAAAGTATTGAAATGGCCCGCCAGGTTGAATGTTGCTATTGGAACTGCTAGAGGTACGCCTTTTTGATAAAATGCTGATATCAGAAAAAATGTATGGTACAGAATGAAATGGTAAATTTTTAAAAACTGTAGATTAGTTTTGTAATTAGCAAAACGGGTGTCTCTAAACCCACAGTGCGTTATTTTACTCGTAAATATACTAGCATGGAGTAGTATTATTCCACGTGAATTTTAGACACAAAGTTGTCCTTTTTTAAGTATTCTATGAACAAGCATAATTTAGCATAATATGAAACTCCCAATTAGATGAAAATTTTTACAGAATCTCAAGCAGCGAAATTGAATGCATGCTGAAAATTCAATATCTTGTGAGATGACAAACTACTCAGATGATCCTTAGATCAACAAGAGTACTACGAATTTTTTATGAGAATACTTTCGTAAAAGGTAAGAGCTTGTTTCTAATTTCTGATTCAAGCAATATGAAGGAAGAGCATCAAATTGAGGAATCTTTTTTATACGAATGAATTTCAAATTCACTGCTTTGTTCTTCATTTTCAGCTCAAAAAATTATAATGTTACTATTTCGACATTTTTACATCAGTTCTAAACAGCTAAGAAACCTGAAAACGGTAAATGACTTGTTGAACATTACTTTCATTTATTCATTTTTTTTTTCATTATCAAAACTTTACTGGAAAATCTTTTCAGGTCTGCAGTTCCTGCACACAATCAAAGACACCCCCCTAATCCATGGAGACATCAAATGCGCCAACATCCTTTTGGATGCTAATAAACAGCCGAGGATTGGAGACTTCGGCTTGGCTAGAGAAGGCCCCCAGCGCACGATGAACTACATCAAAGTGAGTCGCGTCCACGGCACGAAGCCCTACCTGCCAGAAGAATTCCTCAGATCTAAGAAGTTTTCCACCAAAGTGGACACTTACAGTTTTGGGGTGGTGTTATTTGAAATTGCTACTAGTTTAGTCCCCCATTCAGTTAAGAGGGAGGACAGGTGAGTCATACTCTCTTCATTATATTTTTCAGTGTTTTTGAGACTTTGAGAAACAGTTTAATTTTCATTTTATCATAAAGAGTCTTCGGATAGAGTGAACAAACTGTTCTGCCTTTTTGGCATCCTGCATCCAGAAATTCGACTGCAATCTCATAAACACAACAGTTATATACAAGTCATACCTCACTTATTTGTTATATATAGAATTGTTATATAGATATACACAATTACACACACATGTATACCACACACACGTTTACTGGCACACACAAACCAATGTTTACCGGCACAGACACACACATGTATACCGGCACACACACCTAAATATACATATATAAAATGAAGAAGCTATGGCCGAATAGAAGTAAATGGTTAAATTAAGGATAGTAAATGTTGGAAGAAAATATAACGAATACTGTAACAACATGTTTTCTAATGATTATGGGATTTGTGACAGGTTCCTCAGGGACCACGTAATGAACTATGAGGGAGATCTGTTGGATATGAAAGACCCTCGGGCAGAGGGCTATGATGAGTGCTATAGAGGCATTATGGAAATAGGAAAAATGTGCGTAAGAAGTAAAGCAAAGGACAGACCAGAAATGGTTGAAGTACTCAAGAATTTGGAGGCGGTGTCTTTGAAGTAGCAGATTTTTTCAAGTCGAAGGTTAAAATTGTTACTGGTAACGACATGATCGTTAGCAGTGCTGAGAAACTTTCATTAAACACCTATTCAGCTGAATTTTTTATTGTGTCATAAATTGTGATATTATTACTCTGTCCACCTAAATTTTGTATGTGAAAGTATTTTCATATGTAAGACTGGGTGAATAAGATGTGATGAATTTTGAAATAATGAAAAAATATATTCTCAGTGGAGTCACCATTGCCCTTTGGAAATGAATCAAAATACTTGTAAAGAAGTTTTCATCTACAAACTCCCATATGATATAATGACGAAACTGATACACATTTTCGATCGAAACAAAGAATGGGAACGGCTAGGCTTTTTCATGAAGTACAATAAAGATCAGCTTGACAAAATAGAAACTAACGGAGAATCTCCAACTTGGAAACTCTTGAATATGTGGGGGGATCACAATCACACCGTGTTAGAATTGTTCATTTTACTGTACCTAATGAAGCATTATGAAGGAATGAATGTGATTAAAAGTCTCATTGATGAACAGTATCATCACCACATCAAGAGCCCTACTGAACAACTTGAAGACGAAAATGACCAAACAGTACTGCCTGAGCCTCAAGTATGTATTGAAAAATCGGTAAAGGTAGATTCTACTGATATTTCTAGTGTCGTAGAATCAGCAGGGAGTACTCCTTCAATTCCTTATGAGGAACTGGGAGAAGCCACAGATAACTGGTCAGAGGAAAATCTGCTGGGAAAAGGAGGCTTTGGGAAGGTATTCAAAGGGACTTGGAAATGTACCAAGGTGGCTATTAAGAGGCTTGAAAACAAAGAGAACAAACCCAAAATAGAACTTGTGCAAATCAAGCAGTCAATTACAGAGTTGCACTGCCTCAACTCGTACCGACATGATAATGTTTTACCTCTGTACGGATATAGTGTAGGGGGCTCTCATCCGTGTCTCATTTATCAGTATATGGCAGGAGGGGCATTAGATAATAGGTTGAGGGTGAAAGATAATGACAAAGCGTTGACGTGGCCCGCCAGGTTGAATATCGCTATTGGAACTGCTAGAGGTATGTTTTCATAAATGAAACTCCAGTTTGGAGAGGTTTGAAAAGGTGATTCAACAATATATTAGCTAGGGAGGGTTCTCAATGTGCCCCTAACTACCTCAAAGTGAGTCGAGTTTTTGGCACAAAACCCTACCTGCCAAAAGACTTCATAATATCCAAGGAACTATCTACCAAAGTAGACACATATAGTTTTGGAGTGGTGCTGTTTGAGATTGGAACAAGTCTGGAGCCCTATTCCATTAGGAGAAAGAATAAGTGAGTCCTTGTGTTTTAAAATTTTCCATTTTCTTCATCTTCTTTCCATTCTAATCATTTTTAGCAGTTTCTAAAGGTCTCAAGTGTCTTCATCTGTAAATTCTGGATCTAATCTTTGATAACCATGGTTCTTATTTTTCAATTTCTCTTTCTCTTATTTTATTTCATTTCTTTTTTCAGTTCTATATCATATTCTGATCTCACTTTTGTTTGTGTATTAATCATATATCCCTTTATTTTTGACTATCCTGAAAAGAGAAATCAAAGGATTCAAGGTCTGAAGGCCGCCACTCTATTGGATCTCGAATAAATTTTCCATCACAATGTGATGAGTTCTATTTAAGACTGGAATAAGCCTTCAGTTGTTTCGCCATTAGAAATATTAGGAAAGGATTGTTTTTTTTTTCAGGTTTCTTAGAGACCATGTTTTGAATTACGAAGGAGATCTACTAGCCTTGAAGGACCAAAGAGCAAAGGGTTATAACCAGTGCTATAAAGGCATCATGGAAATAGGAAAAATGTGTGTGAGGACTGAAGCCAAAGATAGGCCAGAAATGACGGACGTACTCAAGCTTTTAGAGAAACTGCCTTTGAGTGACTAAAAGAGAAAATAGATCCTAATTGAAACAGTTTTTTAAAACTGATTGAAGGTGGCTGGCTGTGTTGAATGAATATTCTTGTTCCATTTTGAAGAGTGCCTGAAAATATTTTAGCATGCCTTGCTAGGTATTTGTGGAGATTTTGTTATTTTTATATATGTAATTTTCAATTAAAATTGTTACTTGAAAGCTATCGGTGTTGGACCATTTCTTTAAAAAATACTGACACCCGAACCATATAATCTTGAAATTGGCGGTTTTTGTCTGATGACACTAAAAGTCATAGCCAATAAGTATAGTAATATAAAGAAGTAGATTTTTGGTTCGAAGGCCTTGACCACCACGTATGTATTAACCAGCATAAAAACTTTCGAGTTGTAACCTGTCTTATGTTTGAGTTTTTTTACAAGATCACTTTGAATCAGATGGAAATATGGTTTTGTCGAAATGTTTCTTTTCTTAACTAGAAGACTACATTATTTTGAGCCTTACGATTCAAAGTATAATAAGCGTTACTAAACCAACAATTTACTATGATGCCTAATTTTCCGAATAACACGAAATCTTTGTAATGCCGATAGATTTTCTTTCATTTTCCCAAAGTCTCGTTTTTTATTCTTATCTTGTTCATCACTAAAATAGTGATGAACAAGATACAAACATTTCAAAGAAGTGATTACCGACAATGTAGAAATTAGGTCCTGATCCCTATCCGACTGCTCTTTCATCATGCTTGTTTTAGATTTCAGCATCGAGTATTCTGCATCCAATACTTTGCATCTGGCTCTCAAAGCCTCATACTTTTTTTTGAGATCGTCGTACTTCCCTTTGAGATCCGTGTTTTCCATGGACAAAATGCTAACTTTGCTCTCAAATTTGTTGATTGATAGGTTTGGCTCTGACACTGGTACCTTTACTATAATTTAGAAATAATTATAGTTACATTTTTGCAGAGTAGTAAATATTATATCAGAGGGTTTCATTTCGAGAAAATGTATTTTTTCTATGTTGACTACTCTGTTAATTTGTCATTAGTGTCAGATGTCATATGTAAATGATGTTATACTGTCCATTTTTTATTTTTATTTGCTGTTTTCATTCAGTATCTTAATATATACTGACATGATAACTGGCACTTGACAAATAAATGAATCGGCTATTTCAGGAAAAAAAACTATATGCTCCAAATGAAATCCTCATTCGATGTCAAAAACACTTCAGACTTGGTAGAGTAGCCGCTGTGAGGACTTATTACAAGTATCAACATTACTTTGAATAAGAATGAAAATTACTAACATGCGCACCTTTTTCTTGCAGAGCTTTCAATTTTTCTCTCAGTTCGTTGTTTTTTTGCGTCAAATCACAAATAACCTGAGATCTGCCTCTCCATCCATTATTGGAATTGTTCATCAACTGCAAGCTTTCGAAGCTTTCTCCAATCTCCTGTTGAAGCCATTTGTTAGCCAACTTCAGCTCATTTTTCAATTGGAGGTTATTGTTCTTGCTGTCAGCAAGTTTGGCGTTGACGCAACTCAATTTTTCTGTTAATTTTTTCAATTCTTCTTCCAACTCATTGACAGGTTTCTCTTCTACAGCAAGTTTTTTAGAGTCCTCGTTGTTTTCCACAAACGCTTGTTTCAAATCGAACAGGTGCTTTTCAAGCTTAGAATATTTAGTTTTTAAAGCCTCCACTTCGGAGTTTTTCTCTCTGAGCTTTTTACTTAGCTCCACGATTTTCGTACTAGCTACTTGGTTGGACGTGATGAATTCATTCTTGTTACATAATTTCTCGTAATTTCCAAGTTTAGTGATTAGTTCAGAAATTTTAGCTTGGCTTTCTTCATAATTGGTCTCCAAATCTGAAATCTTCTTTTGGAGCATTCCATTTTCATGAACTTGATACTGAAACGTTAAAAAATTTGCTTATCTTATAATTTTATTGTATTCAAGTTATTCGACGATGACATTGCCGCAAAGTGCTGCTATAAAACTCAAGGAAAACAAAAAATATGGGAATACATTTCTATAAAATAATTGTTTGCTATTCTTCCAAGTATCAAAATATATAATAAGGAATGAAAACAAATTAACTATGCCACAACATCGCACTGCAGTGTTGAAAATATCATTCTTTTTGGTGCTGTGAAACTCTAAAATTCATTGCTATAGCAATTGAATAGATTCAACATCAGGAAATTCAAATACAAATCGTAGTCAGTACACTCAATTTTGTTTATTGGATTTATATAAGAGATAATTACCAATCAATAGTTTCATTCATTTCTGCTATGGGTTTTTTCTCGGTCATTTGTTTTCATATCATTTATGTAAGCAAGTAATTATGGAGTGGTGCTTGTTGGTTAGGTTTGGGCAGCTCTGAGCTAGACTTCGCCAATGAAATTTATCAACCTGATGCCAACTCTACCACCGCCAGAAATTTCAATTTTATCTATCAGTTTCTCATTTTTACCTTGAAAATGACGTTATTGCTGCTGCTGCCAAATATGATCGCTGTTCAATGACGGTGATACACCCTTCTATAATGGAACAGTCATCTGTTATTTTACAAACGAACGAATCCATATCAGACATGTTCTGCCACAGAATATTGGTTATGTGTTTTTTGCTTTATTCAGTTGCTTGACAGAGTTGCCATTCTTTTACAATACCAGAAATGGATATTTTTTTTTGGTTTATCAAAATAACCATTCATAAACATAAAGAAAATTAAAAATTCAATGTATAAATTATTAAACGAATTTAAATTCATGAAAGGCAAACTCAAAGAAGAATAGATTGTATGAAGGCGACACAAATAGATTATCTTCTGGCATCACTGTAGTGTTTAGTTGAAAACTAAAATGTTCAAATCTGCGTTTAAAAAAAAAGCAAATACTTTTCATGTTTTCAAGGATCAACTTTTTACTCGCTTTCATCAATAAGTGCTAAAAAAAATTGTTAATATTAAATAGCTAGTTTTAAATTTCTCCACTTCTAGATCCAATCTCCAAAGAAATCCATCTTCAATAACACACAATGTATTATCAATTTATTAAAGTAACAACATTCTCTGAAAGGTCCAAGGAATATTACATGAGTGAGAAACTGCACACTGAGAATTCCATACAAACTATCGGAAAAATATGTTACGAGGATGGCAAAATCTTCTTAGAATCCCTTCGTGATGAGAAAAAGACGCCTTTGAATATTATTAACGAAAAAACGCCCGAAGATGGAACTTATGTAAATTTGTTTGGAATGTTTAGTTTCTTCAGCGATAGCGGTTTGTCCAAGAGGTATAATTTTGAGAACCCAGACGATAACGAGGATTTTATACCCATACTGAATGTGGAATTTTGGAATGACATAGAAGGTTTGCCACAGGCCGAAATGTTGGAGGAAATTTTTTATGATCTCTTCAAAGACGAATGAATTTTTCTTGTAGCTAGTGTGTTGTACTTTTCTAGCAAGTGTTTTGTACTGTTGAATTATTAATAAATTTATTTTTTATACACTACATTATGTTAAATATATTACCTGTACTTCATAAAGTATTGCGACAAGTACAAATAAACGAAAATCCAAAATGAATTCATAGTATTTAGATAATCGAATTGTTCTGAATTTTCTAATTCATGAAAGATTCAACTGGAAGTGCAACTGCTGGATTTTTGAAAAACGTATATGATAGCTTAGATATAGGAAATAAAACTTAGCAAGGTTTTTGATCTGGTTGATCACAAGGTACTTCTTTTTAGACTGAAAATGTATGGACTTAGAGGAATACCATGTCTGTGGTTAGCGTGCACTAATTTAGAAATTCATTATCAATTGCAGAGATTACACTGCCCAACTGATGTTCCAATACATATCAATGGTTTTGTCGATAAAAACTGCACCTAGTGCGCTGATGATCACTTTTAGGGATTGCCCACACACTCAAGTCAACATTAGATAAAACCTATCAAGACTTCAACAACCCAAGTGACTAGTTCCAGAATAACTATTCTTTATTTAATCATATATAAGTAAAAATATGTCTCTAGTTGTTTTTTATAACGTTGATAAAAAAGCGTATTGAAGAGTTTTCGGTTGTTTAGGTAGAAATATATCTCAGTTTTTTCCTAACTCATCAAGGTGAGTTGATCAGTTCAAAGACTCGCCTATTGCAATTCCCAACAATTTGACAGACTCTCTGATATTATTATTAGTCTGAAAAGTAACTGTCTGGGTTTCTTCTTTATTCAATATTAGTAAATTAGCATTGAACTAACATACTACCAGAGTCTCTGCCATTTCCTTAGTGGTAATCAATTGATTGCAGTTTTTGTGAGAACATAATAGTGCATCATCAGTGTATGTCACACATTTATGTGGAAAAATATGAAAGAAGTCATCCATAAAAATAATAAACAAAAGCGGACCAAGAACAGAGCTCTGTTGAACCTCATTGTCGAGATGTGAGATCTGATATTGCCGTCACCCATAGCGGACACATTGTTTTCTATTTTCTAAATATACGTACTTGTTCACTAGAATATGATGAGAAATACAATCAAATGCTTTACTCAAGTCACACAGCGAATTGGCGCTGTGCTTACCATTTTCAATCCTTCCACTTCGTTTCTCACCATAATGACCACTGCTAGAATATTGGAGCATACTTTCCTAAAGCCGTATTGATTTAAATTGAAAGGTGGTCCACTCGAATTTTTTCAGAATCATTTCTAAGATTTACCAAATATGAAAACACAAAAAAAGTTGCCTCGGTCAAACCGACCAATCAGCTTTAGCTGAACATGCTACCAAAGAAGGTACATTATTTCACTCGAAGATACAGGAATTCTCGAAAAAACTTGAAATTACTATCCAGTAGTATCCAATACAAAGGAAGAGGCAATGAACAATAATAAAATCTGGCTAACTGTCCTTTTTTCTCCCATATTTTTATACCTATTTCAACAATCTTATTCCCTGTACGAGTTTCTGAAAGTCTTTCATTCAATCCTATCTTCAAGTAGCTCTCAACGCAGAAACTAGAATGTTGGAATTTGCTTCCGGTTTTATATCATCATTGGTAAGCCACAGTGCTTTCCGGAGTTTTGAAAGAAATGCACATGTCATACAGCAAATCATTTGAATTTTATCATACCTCAACAGAAAATACAACTGCTACGTGTTAAAACAAAAATACTCACCCTTATTTGCTCCCTCAGAAAATCGTTCAGTTCGTTCGGAAAAACAATACTATCCGGAATCTCGGATAACGTAATTTGCGAAACATCCAATTTCTGAGACACATTGAAAGTGTTTGAATTTGAGCTTGTCATTTTCAGCCCCAACCATTGACACTTGCAATGACACTGGGAATATATCATTAGCCTACAGGGTGAGTTAACAATCTGTTATTTGTTGATGAAGGAAAATGAGACCCATAATTATAAAAGAAGCCTTTATGATTTATTTACATTTGAAACAATATAAATCTAAAAATAAATATGACTAATACTGCCGAAATAGGTACCCATCTTTGTATGTGTAGAATAGTATATTATGTAAGAATTACTCGTCTAATCTCTCACAGATCTACACTCATCACAAGAAAATCATTCACATATTTACAAAAAAAAAATTGTGGGAACATGGTATAGTTGACGAAAATATAATAATGAGTTGAACTGGCAAAGGGGCTCTGAAATAACTTGAAATTTTTATCCATGGCGTGTTGATGAATAAAAAAAAAACTATTAATGAACACAAAGAAGGAAATCAGAAATGTACTGCAAGAATTGCCAAAAACACGTCAAGTTTGTTATTAAGAGACCTAAATTTTTACAAAAAAATAGGGGTGCCACCCCCCATTTAAATAACAATAGGAGTGGGGGGGGTGAAGTATACCTCTTTAAAAAGGGATTATGATGCTCTATTGTTTCACTTTTGAAAATCGATCCACTTATTTAGAGAATATTCAGCTTTGAAATGCAAACAATAAGTTTTTGAAAATATACAGATTTTAAATAAAAATCTATTGTATTGATCTTAGTATTGAAGACAAATTCCTTTGGAACAATTTGTGGTTTTTGCCATTAGGTGTGTATCAGGTTTCGGCTTATCAAAAGTTTGTGCATTTTGGTGACGCGATTAAAAATTATTTGATAACCTTTCAAATTTATCAGTCGTGGTATACTCAATTAAAAAAAACAGTGAAAATGATTCACACAAACGTATAACGTACCAGATGTCGAAAAAACAACTCTAATGAGATGGAAATTGGTTTAGGAGTTCCACAAGGTTCCATTATAGGGCCCAACTCATTCTTTCAATACGTAAATGAGCTCTTGGCAATTTAGATTAGTTTCAACCAAAAATGATAATAATATTGACCGTTATATAGCACTAGATAGAGTAGATACTTGATTCATATTCAACTCATTATATCTGAATATGACTAAAATGTTTTTTGTAAATTCTCATCCTGTTCAAAAAAAGGTTCTAAAACTCTAATCAATCGCTAAAATTACCAGATTTCAAAGTCCCAAAATTGAATGATTTCACAATGTAAGCATCACAAATAGTATTTATTATTCCTGAAGAGAAAAAACCTTATGCAGGACATAAGAACACAATCACATAAAGATATGATGAATTATAATATCAACTTGAAGGAAAACCTCATACATTCAAGTATTTCAGAACCCCAGTTCATTTTATTTGAATGTCATGGCTTAGTTAATAAAATAGAGAGCTGTAAAACATTTTGTTAATTCTAAGTATAAATTATCATTAACAGACCTTAAAGAGAACATGTTTAAAATAGAAAGAAAACATACACTATCACAATACTAATGTCAATGGATTTGCTACTTTTGGTCAGGAAAATACACCTTTTTGCACTATAGAGAAGGAAGTGTAGCCACAACTATTGTAACACCCTGTATGTGTGAATAATATTGCATACACCACCACACGTGCAACTAGAATAACCAGTTTGTCTATAAAAAAATGAATAAATTGAACTATTACAGCGACTAGCATAAATTGCCTGCTATTTGAGAAGATATTTTTCTTTTTCTGTACATGAAAATCGGTATAAGTAATCCTGTCTGCATCTATAGAAATCCCAATAATTGTCAAGCAGCACCGCCTTCTCGGATCTGGCAGGAAATTTGAAATAGAAAAAATTAGCAACAAAATTTTTCAGTATGTCATATTTTGAGCAAACAAAAAATTTAAAACCCATTAAAGACACCACGTTGGAGGATTTTCTGATGAAAGATATATTTCTGGTGTCACTATTTGAATGAAGCAACGTAAGACGCACATTAAAAGGTAAGACCTCGTTAATCCTTGACTCGTAGCAGTTTCAACATTTCACATTTGGCGTCATTCGTTTGCAAAACTCCAATTCCGAGTGAATTGCAAAAGTAAATTTCAAAAAGTAACACACCAATATTTTGAATTTCCCACAAATTCCAAATCAATGGTGCCGATGCGATGGTGAAATTTGAAAATCTGTTAGTTGACAGTTTGAATGTGCTGCCGTTGAAAAAATATTGAAATCAGTCACCTAAAATATTTAATTTGAATTGATGAATTACTTAATTTTCTCCAAAAGTCAAAATTCGATGAAAACAAGATATAAATCAATGGTGTGAGAAGTCACGAATTAGTTTACGAGATATTTGTGAATGTTTTGCCACAGAAACACTTCTTTCATTTATTCCCCTTTTCAAAATATTTCCTTTTGAATTCATGGGGAGAAATAACTGCAACAAAATTGTGATTTTTTATTTCGGTTCCCAAATTCTATACTTCCTGTAGATCGAAGAATTTTTAATTGATATTAATTATATCTGAGAATGTTGAGGTTTTGCCACCATTATCAGTGAAATCATTATGAAATATATGTTGCATCTAATAAGTTGGGAATGAGAATGCATTTGAAGTAGCAAAATGTCTTGTCAACTTTTGATCTTATATTTTGAATGAACGGAGAAAACATATAGATTTAATTTTCCCATAATTTTCAATTTTAACATGTCATAAGTCACCTTTTATATGTATGAATGCTATTTTCGTCTACAACTGCCGTAGACATTATCAAAGAAGATGCGGTAACTGTTGAAGTGATTGAAATTGTGTTTACGATGTGCACCAACTGGAGCACTTCGACCATTATCCATTGCCTTTGATAATATCTACCGCAGTAGTAGACGAAACGCCATGATTAAAAACTTGCAGACCACGGCTTAAAAACCCGGAAAATAGCTTTCACACCAGGTATCTCAAGCCGTGAAAGTTTACATGCGTTAATCACCGTACGGGTATAAAATTCCCCTTGATAATACTTGATGACTGACCGATTTCAAAAGTGTCAATTGGCTGAGTTTGAGGATGTCCATAAACAATTTTCAAGAGTGTCTATTTCTATTTTTGGAAACCTCTATCGAAATTGAAAGAGCTTTAAATTTTGACTATTTGCTATCGTTCATAAAAGCAAACATCCTGGCCGATAAGTTTGGGATTTCTGAATATGAAGAAATTATGAAGAATTTCAAGAAAAACTAATGATGTTTCGCACTTTTTGCCGTCGCTGTAAACATGAAGGGGAGTCGAGTCGAGATTTCGTATAAAACGCCACAAATATTTTTGTACTCTCAAGAATCCAACAGGCACTCACCAATGCGTGTACCTTCAAAAACCTCCAAAAAGTCTCGACTCGAACTCCCTCTGAGGAATGTATATGGAAATTCGATGTATGATTAAGTACAGTCCGTAAAGCTCCAGGAATGTCGATGAAGGTATGGAGGCAAGGCACCCAGTGAGGTTTCATGCGAGTTAGGACCCAGCGTGAAGGCTGTCGTAGGCCTTGACTTTGTCGGGCAAGGCGGCTGCCTCGATAGGCACTCTGACCATTAGCTCTCGAAGGGTGCTGACAAATGTTATTTTCCTGTAGAATTTCGAACTGCAACAGAAACGATGAGATCGTTTTTAAATATCGTCGTTTTTCATATCAAATTTCATTATATGAGTAAGTTTTATGAAGAAAATTTCAAAATCAGAAGTAGGGTGGAAGATAATATTAAAAAATATAAACTAGTATGAATCTCGACAAAAAGAGATCTCTAGAAAAAGTAAGATCTTGGGAAAATTCAAATTTCCAAATATAGTAAAAAATAAAGTGTGGTCCTTCTACAGAGTCGCAAGTTTTTAGCATTAATTAATGACAGAGAAACAAATCTCCTTTTTACATTCAACATATAGGTAAAAGGAATGAATTATGATTGGGAAAAAGATTCGAACTTTACTTCCAATCTGAAAAACCATCATTACATTAGTCGAAATGTATTAAAATTTCGAGTTAAAAGGCAAAATCAAATGAATTTCAAAGTGGAAATTTCAAGTTTTTAGTCAGTAATTGACAAAATGCTATACTCAATGTTAAAATTCACCAAAAATTCAGGGATTCAATTCCGAGTTTGATATTAACATTATTAAAACTCCCAGGTTGAAGTCGGAATTCAATAAAATTCCAAATTACAAGTGGGATTTTGACAAAATTCCAAGTTTCCAGTCCAAATTTAAGAAATCCTCAAGTTCCCAGTCGAAATTTAACCATAATTCCAAACTCAAAGTAGGAATAGAAAAAAAAATCAAGATTCAACTCCGAGTTTGATTTCAAAATTTATTAAAATTCCGAGACTGAAATCGAAATTCAAAGTTCAGAGTGGTTATTCAACAAAATTCCAAAATTCAAGTCGGAATTTACCAAAATTTCAAGTTCCCAGTCAGAATTTAACAAAATTCTGGGCTCAAAGTTGGAATTTAACCAAAATTTCAAGATTCAATTCCGAATTTGATGTCAAAATTCAACAAAATTCCTAGGTGAGTCAGAATTTAACAAAATTCCAAATTCCCAGTCGGAATTTAAGAAAATTCTGAGCTTAAAGTTGGAATTTAACCAAAATTTCAAGATTCAATTCCGAATTTGATGTCAAAATTTATTGAAATTCCTAGGTTAGTCGGAATTTATCAAAATTCCAAGATCGAAGTTGAAATTTACCAAAATTTCAAGTTCCCAGTCGGAATTTAACAAAATATGAGCTCAAATTTAGAATTTAACAAAAATTTCGAGATTCAATTCAGAATTGATGTCAAAATTTATTGAAATTCCAAAGTTAGTCGGAATTTAACAAAATTCCAAGATCAAAGTCGGAATTCACCAAAATTTCAAATTCCCAGTAGAATTTAGTAAAATTACGAGCTCAAAGTTGGAATTTAACAAAAATTTCGAAATTCAATTCCAACTTTGATGTCAAGTTTATTGAAATTCCGAGGCTAACCTCGGAATTTGAAAATTCCAAGATCAAAGTTGGTATTTAAAAAAATTTCAACTTCCCAGTCGGAACTTATTGAAATTTCGAGATCAAAATGGAAATTTGACATCATTCCAAGATGACAATCAGAATTTTTAACAAAATTCCGAACTCCAAGTTGGAATTCACCAATAATTTCGAGATCAATTCCAAGGTTGAAATTGGAATTCAATAAAATTACAAATTCAAAGTTGAAACTTAACTGAAAAATTTAACAAACATTCTGAGATGGAAGTCGAATTTAATAAACGAAAGCTTCAGTAAGTGTATGAAATAATTCAAATGGCAATTGGCTATCTTAGAAGGAATACAAGAAAGTTTCTCTTCGAGGAGGTACTTATTCTTTGTGCCACAGGATTTTTTCATAATAATTCTATCATTACAGCTTTGTTTGATCAATTAAAAGAAATCTACCAATAATCAATCGTGCCAGGAATCTCTCAAACTTACCTGATGAAAGGCTTGGCCATGAACAGCATAGTTTTTATCCAAAGTGTTGGATGCACCATATAGAGATGGCTTAGGTTCTTCCTGAGTTTTCTTCCTACCATTTGATAGCACCTTTTCAACCAACCGAATGAAGGTAACCTAGTTGCGCCCCCATGAAGATACACCAGCACGTAGTCTTCAGTGACAAGACGCTCCAACGTCCAAAGGACATACCTGAGTATCATAATAGTTTTTTAATAAGAATTTAGAAATATTTGGAGGTAATATGAGAACACATGGTTTTAACGGCCAGGGTTACAATTAGACAGAACAAAATCCGGGCTGGTAGATCGTGATTGAATTGAACTTGTCGTACAAAACGTTTCGTCTACTACTGAGGCAAAAAACTTCAGTGGTATATCATTCTATCAAAAAGTGTTTATTATTGACGAATATAAAACTCTGTTGATTGAGCTGACCGAAAACTAGGATTCTAAAATAAAATAATGATTTAGTATAAGTCGGTAAAAAGATTACATATACTAAAATGCTCCAACTGTCAATTGAACATTGCCTTTCGCCCCTCATACATATAATCATTTAGAGTATCGTAATTTATCTGCTTCTATCCTGAAGAATAATCTCAAGGATTTGAAGATTATTGAAAAGCTTCTTTCTGATGTAAAATATTGATTGCTTGATTCGTTTGAAGGACGAAATCGCGGAAAAACGGCCCCATTGAAAAAAATTAAAATGAAGCGCTGTTTCATCAAGACCATGTACTGTGTCACAAATCAATGAAAACAATGGCAAAATTGCATTAATTGAGCTTCGAACTGTTTCCTCATCCACCGTATTCCCCAGATCTGGCCCCCAGCGACTTTTTCCTATTCTCAGACCTCAAAGAGAATGCTCACTGGCAAAATTTAGCGCCCATAGAAAGGTAATTATCGAAACTGAAGGCTATTTTGAGGCTAAATACAAATCGTACTATAAAAATGATAGATCTTGTCTTGAAAGAATAGACGGGGATGGTAACAGGAAAAATAAAATACTTGAATAATGAAATCCCTATCTGAACTGTCACCAGAATGAAGGTAATGAAGGAGAAGAAAGGAAATTGAACACGTAACACATACTTACAAAAACAAGTTATCCATCACGTAATCATAGTCCACCCTGGATCTGTCTGGCAAGTAGCAGGCCGAGAATAGCACAATGGCGGTGTGCCCTCCAGCTCTGAGGTACCCCCCATGACTGAGCACGCGTTTGTAGGGTTCGATGACTCGCATATCGATTGTGCGTTGTTCGCCCCCTGGTAGCACCATCCGTTGCCAGTAACGCGCGTGACAGCGCTCGTCTGCAGCGCTGAGCGGTTCGATGGGTTCGGGAGTGGTAGTTTCTAAAAAAAGTTTATAATAATAATTATAAATACCTTAATTTCTGAAGAATAATCGCAAAAAGATACAAAAACAGAAATAACGTCACCAGCAAGATAGATTATGTCAGACAGATGAATGAATGCTTTATTTATCATCAGATAATCAGATTACAATGTATAAAGAAAATATAAAAAATAAAAGAATAGTATGGAACATGTTGACATTTTTATACAGATCTATATATACATTAACATATACATAAATATACACACACATATATATACCTACATACACAAAATAATATCATAATGAACCCACATCAGGGACCACCTATTTTATACATATATACACATACACATACATCTAAACATATAAACACACACATACATATACATACACATTTATAATGTTCAATTTATCACATATTCTTTCAATTTTGTTTTAAACAATTTTATGGAAGAAGATTCTTTGATTTCACGAGGAAGTAGATTGAATTCAACAATACCTTTGAAAAATACAGATTTCATCAAACTAGCTTTAGAGGTTGGTTTTATATAGAAATTCATATTACTTGCAGTTCGTGTTGCTCGATCATGTATATTGTTCACAGGAATCAATTGACACTGTAAATAATTGGGCAGTAAATTGTTTATCATTTTGAAAATGAAAGTCATTGTTTGACATTTTGTTTCACATTAAGCCAGTTGAGGATATCTAACATCGATTTTATATTCGTGTACCTGTTGCAACCAAGGATAATACGCATTGCTTTATTTTGTAGAATTTGCAGTCTGTCATAATTAGATATGTTCGTGTGAATTATAGAACTGCAATTATTGAAATGAGGCAATATCATAGTATTGTACACTATTATCCGACTAGACTGAGATAAAGATGAAGTTATACGTCTCACGAATCCAATTTTTTTACCTATTTTTTGAAATATAGTCAATATGTTTATCAAATTTTAGTTGGGTATCAATTACGGATCCCAAATATCTCATTTCCTGAACCCGTTCAATCCGTTGATCATTTATTTTGATATCTAATTCCATACTTAGAAATTTTTGATACAGAAAATTATTGCCAATAAACATATATTTTTTTTAGTTTCATTAACTTTCAGTTTATTGATTTTGAATTTATAAAAAAGTTGATCTATTTCATCATTCAATGTGTTCATAAGATCAGCGAAATCACTACTATTGAAGTATAGGAATCACGTGTTAGGAATCACACGTTAAAAGGTAAGACCTCGTTAGTCCTTAGCTCGCTCAAGTTTCTCAACTTCTGAGAGTTGTCGTTCGTATGGGGGCGATAGCTGATTAACGGAAAAACAGATTTTAAACAGATTTTTTAAACAGATATCAAGGTATCATCAGCATAAAGATGAAATTAACATTTCGTCAGAACAGAACCCAAATCATTTACATATAACAAGAATAAAAGAGGATCTAAAACACTTCCTTGTGGCACACCATAGTTGCTGAGGTGGCACTCTGACTCTATGGACAGTGTGGCTGAGGTATTCAGCAATAGTATAGGGTTCTATATTCCCTTTTAGAATTTACCAAGTTTATTCATTTGTTTGATGCTGGTAGGGAGTTCGTTGAACATTTTCATGCTTCAATAGAAAGGGCTCCTTTCTGAAACAGTTAGTCTATGTTTTGGGTATACATAGGCAAAATTTCTAGTGTTATATACATTTTGTGGAAGACTATTTTCAAAAAGATGTTTGTTTCTAAAAAGAAATAACAAGAGATCCTGTATATAGACTCTTATAAGTGTGAGTATTTTAAGACTACTGAATTCGCCTCTACATAATTCTCTTGAGTTTAGTTTCAGCATAGTTCTTAAGGCTCTTTTTTGTACAATAAAAATTTGCTCTGAATTTCTACTACCTCCATAAAAAATAATCCCATACCTACAGATTCAAAATTTGAATGATAGACCATTCGGATTACATCTGTGCCGACATACTGATCAATTACTCTCATTGAATACAACACTGAATTCAAGTTTTGACAAACATTTTGAATATGACTGTTGAAACTCGGCGTGCAGTCCTAAGAATTTGCACTCATTTTCTATTTTGAGAGAAATACTCGTCAGCCGAATATCTTGAGGTAAGTCAAATCCTGCATGGTTTGTTTTGAACATTACAGTTTTGGTCTTATTGTCATTCAATATAAGTTTCTCCTGAACCACTCATCTGCCATACAGAGGCTTTCTTCGGTTATAGATATCATACCGGGATAGTCTGCTACATTGACCAGCAAGTTTGTGTCATCCGCATAATTTGTCACTTTGCAAGTTTTCCCACAAATCTCCTCCAGGTTATTTAGAGAAATGATAAACATCTTTGGGCCAATTATACTACCTTGTGGCACCCCCGTATCAATTGATTTTATGTCTGATTAAACTTTGATTCCTTCCTTGTTAATTAACACCATTTGTTTTCTACCTGATATATAAGATTTAAGCCATTTCAGCGCAGGGCCGTGTATCCCATATGATTCCAGCTTTTGTAGAAGAACTGTGTGGTACAAACAATCGAAAGCTTTTGACAGTAATAGTAGTAATAAATAAAAAGGTTTATAATGACCCCTTCCTTAGTAGAGGAGACATTTTAGGAATCTTCAACCATTCTGGTTGTTTTCTATTTTCAACAGATTTTATGAAAATAAATCAACAGTGAATGACTGTTCTTGGACATCAAACGTGCTTTTGAATGCATTGATGTCAATATGATAGAATTGATCGATACTTGATAAAAATCCATTATAACTTTATAATGTGGGTATTGTGAATTTTGACCAGTTGTTCTTGCCACATTGTCGTACGGTCAATAAGGATTATTATCTCTGAGAGATCTCAAGGACATACTAAAAAAGTGCACATCAGAACTGCTTCAAAAAATAAAAAAAGGCTGGTACAATTATATTATATCTGAGGAGGGGGGACAAAATAGAAATTGATAAATGAATAAATATGTTTTGAGAAAAATGAAAATTCACCTTATTTTTTTAACAGATAAAGTATATATAAATAAATAAATGCGGACACCTATTTTTCAACTGGCTGTCAAATTATAATAGTGATCATTTCTTATAACATACAAGTTTGAGCTTTAAATGGTGATTGATTTCTTCAAATTGTTCACAACAAATCAACCACATATTTCTTACTTCCTCGATGTTGATAAAGAATTATATTCTACCTTTGAAAGAGAACTGCATTGCTGCTGAACGTTCACAACAAAATGCCGTGCCTTCACATAAATTTTATCAAAGAAGACAGCGCCAGGAAACGGTTGTTATCATGATGAGTCACTATAAAATGATTGCTTGTTGTAACTTCATCTTATCAATAAAAACATAAAAAGTACTTTGAAGTGGAAGTCAGTAAATAATTACGTTTCAAATGGTTTGTAATTACCTGGAGTGATTCCACTAATGACTGGTTAATAATTAAATGTGTAAGCAAGCATATTGGATTTTGCAATTCAAGAGACGCATAATTTGTGGTAAAAAATGTTCTTATCATAAAAGTTAGTTAATGAACGGCCACAGAGAATCATTGAAAATGAATGTTTAAAAGAGGTAACCCAATAATTTAACAAACAGAAATTGGGGAGACATCAATGAAATATTATGATATTGGGTAATTTGAAATTTGTCAATAATATAAAAATTTTGAATGCCAGGGTTTTACTAGGAGATAATAGAAAAAGTAAGTACAATCAGAGGTGTGTTTTAGATCAAAATTGTTTCACACATGTACAGAAATGATACTTACTAGTCATGCAGCAATTAAATGTTCAAGGTTGTACCTTAGCCTACAAATATTCTAGAATGGTTTCAAACATTTTTGAAATATCAAAAGAATTGCTATTTTTGAATAAAAACATGAAACGCTGAAGAAAATAGAGGTACACAATAAATAAGAGATGATTAAGCAGAAAAGGAGTGGTAAAGAACTCACCATCTTCAAGTTTGTCTTCAAAAGTTTCCAAGTCTCCATTAAATACATTTTCAGACTTCAAACTGTCGGAATTTGTATCCAGAGAAGAAACATCACTGTCTTCACTATCCTGAGTCGGCACAACCTTAATTTTCCTAAGTTTGTTACTCTTTTTGCTATGTGCGAGGAAATTTAGGTTACCTACAAAAAAAAACTATAATTTTAATCGTTCAAACTATTATAACAAGCCTCTAGTTGGTCTATTAATAAAAATAATCTCACCTTCTTTTTCATTCATGGTGAGTGAGACGTTTTGCAGGTTGGAGCTCAGATGTGCTTCATAGATAGACTTATCATTTTCATTATCGCTTAAAGTATCATGAGAAACCTCGACAGGCAGATCAAACTGTATAGACTTTTTTAAAGCTGACGGACTGCTGGGAAAATCTAAAATAAAAGATGCATAAAAATTCGTTATAATAGGCATGCAAGATCAAGTTCATTTCTAATGCTTTACAGAATTTATTTACGGTTTTAGTGTATCTTAAAGCTCTAGGCCTCTAGGCATTTTATTATATATTACATTAACTTTTGTTTGTTGAAACGAATATTTGTCCAATCGGTTACCCACCTGGTAATGATTCATCGTATTCCCCTAGGTGTAGATCCAACGCCTCAGTCATTGAACTGTGTGCATCCGGAACGAAATGTTTTTCATAGCTGGGGTACCTCTTGATGTGTTTCGGTATCACGTCTGGAAAATCAGGAGATATGGACGAAGTGGGGGAGTACATCAACGGATGAGAGTTGGTAGCGTTTTTGACTAGTGAAGTACCCTTATTTGGTAAAATGGTGTTTTCATCGTCGGCATCGTATTCTACGTTGGGGTTGGAGGGCATCAAATGACTAGCGCTTGTGTTATCTGGACTAGATTGGTCAGAGGTTTCAGATATGTCCATTTTTTCTGGTTCACTGAAATTAGGAAAAGTTAATGCTTCGTTCTGCATTGGGGTCATTAGGACGTACCTCATAATGATAACTGTGCAAGTTTTGCTGTGGATATTTAAAGAGAAATGAGTGACACAATTCCAATGTTTTGATATGAAGCTCATGAAATTTCTTCTTCTTTTCGATTCAATGGCCTCGGCAATTAAGGCTATCCAGCCAGTTTGTAACGAAAGTTGTTAAAGCCAAATGTGGCTATACTTAAGTGGTTCTGGGGCGGGCCCATCCTCAATTGTGTTAACCTTTTTGCAATGGTTATTGACAGATCTGTCAGTGCCTGATATATTCAAAATATTCTGCAGCATTGCCAATAATACCGACAGGAATTGAATTTTGACTACCAGTATTTACAAGTTTAAGCTGCCAGATTTGCGGTATTCGAAAGTATCTTTGTCGTAAGGGAGCGGTGGAAAACTCTGGGAAAACTTAATGACATTCTGTATTGGAATTTCTACAAAATGTTGTATTATTAGTTCAAAAGTTCTTCCAAAATATCTGTAGTGAAAATAATACGTTATTTGGAAAATAGAGACCGTTTGCTCACATAGAACTTTGTAAAGAAACGGACATATCTTGAACCTGGTATGTCCAATGACCGAGTGGATGAACGGAGTTGTGTGTAGTGTTGAATGGTAAGTTAGTTTGGTTTCAACAACCATCGTTCTAATGTTGAGGATATTTCTTCTGAAAATTTTTGAGGTGTATTAATTCCTTTTTCGTGGTATAGTTTTCCAGAACTATGCTAGTTTTGGATGTTTGGGGAGAATGTGTGTGAAAACATTTTCTGGTACATAATGTATTAGATGTTATAGTCATTATTATCTGACTTCCATATTTTGGAAATATTTTACTATAATGAAAATATACTGTGATTGCAGTTTCAGAGAAATTATACTCGTTTTGTTCAGTAATTTTGAATTTTAGGAACAAATTTGTGAAATTTACGTGTTATGTTCTGTTTTATTCGTGTTTTAACTAAAATTAAAAAAAATAGTTGGTGTGATCTACTGCAAATGTTTCATGAACGTGGAAGTATTGAAATACTAACCGTATCTCGAAAATTGAAACTTGGCTTCCGTGGTAATTTGAAAATTCCAATGATAAACTCATAATTAAGATGGCTTATATATTATAATCCAAACTGATCTGATTTCATTTATAATTTACATTACTGTGTTCATTTAGAATGTATAACATCGATGATCTACTGCGCCGAAGGAAAGCAAAGATAAAAAAAAGAGAAGAAGATGAAGTATAACATCGACAACGCAGCTCTCGAGTTTTCCAAACACAGGAGCAAAGTTACAACTTTCGCGAGACCCAAAATTATCATTTACCACTAATTTGAGTTACCAATAAAGACCCAATTGTGCCTGAATAGGAAGCAGCGGCCAATAAAGAAGGAAGGAGTTACCAATAACATTAGTCTCTTGAAAATTTTAATTTTTTGGGTTCATCAGAAACTTCTATTCCTATTTTATTTATGATTCGTTATAGAGGAAAAAAAAGTAAAGTTTCACTAGTCACTCAGGATCAAAGGTGTGTTTTGAGATTCAGTTAAGATGAACAGCTTAAGGATTTCAGTTCCTTTTTGTATATTTTCCCTTATACAAATTATTATATTTGAACAAAAGTTAACCAATCGATTCTCATAAATATATTTATCAAACTATATTGAATAAAATATCAGAACATTACAACAATTGAATAAAGATTATTTACGAACATTCAGAATATGTTTTGAACACAATTTGATTGTTAAACAAACAGACAATTTTTTCTTATACTATGGAATGATTGTAAAACTTGGAACAAACATTTCTATTTTTTCTTTTTTTGTTGCTTCTGCCTCCTTTTCTCTTCTTTTCGCCTCTCCCTCTCCACTAAAGAATTGTAGAGTTTGTAGCCGAAAAATACTGCAAAGAATAATAATATAACAAATACTAATAGATAATACCACTTAAACGTTCAAACGTTGTAAAATGCTATTTAGTGTACTTTTTTAGGGCCACATGAAGAATATTTGAAGGTTTCTCTTATACAAAACGTTGCATCGGAAATTTCCCAACACTGTCTCTTAGATGAGAAAAATAGTAATGAGAACATTAAATTCATCACTATTTTGTTGATCGATTCCTGCAAGAGATCATAACCTTCAGTGTTCAATAAATAATTGAATAAAGAAAAGTTTCTCAAACTTTTGAAGGCTTTATGACTTGAAAAAACCTCACTGAAAATAGAGGTTTGGAATGAAGTGTTAATTATTTCTGAGAATCTGCCGTGATAATTAAAAAAGTATAACCCCACATGAGGAATCACCTCCTTAAATGTTTTACACTTATTTAGTTACACCCTGTATATATGGATTATGAAAATAGTAACATTAACCTAAAATAACTTGAACTGTATTGAAAAACAACAATTTTCAAATAATAAAAAAAATTCCAAATAAAAAGATAGTAAACTGTAAAAGAAGAATTGTTGCCACATTAAGTCAAATATAAAATCAAATCAGTTTTCAACATATTCTTATTTCAATCTCGATTTACTTTTTTTATTTCTAGGGTAACATAATTGTAGATGGCAATTCTGTAGTGATGTATTGACTTTTCATATATAATACATATATACACACATCGGAAAAGTCTAGGGATATTTTTAAAAATGGCAATAATTTTTTTTTAGATCGCTTTAGGGAAAAAAAGTTGACGGGTGATTATTAAACGAATGTAACTTACAACAAAATTTATTAAATGGTCAAAAATACTGAGTGCGCATATAAGCAAAACTAAAAAAAATATGGCTCTTCTTTGGCACCCCGAAAATAAATCATAATACAAAAAAAATTGGAAACAGTACAAAGTATGGCCTCCACGCTGGNCGTTAGGGTATGCACAAACAAAAATAAATTTTGGTAATTATAAAAATAATAATGGGAATTATTCTACTTTGGACCAAGGTCCTTGGTCTTCCACCATATCTACCATGTATAGGAATATTCAATACAAATGAAAGGAACCAACACTCAAATAATACTGTGCTTTTTGTTTTCTACTATTATTTTTTCTATCTTTACGGCCCTAAATTTCCCAACTTTTCCAAGTCGAAAAAACAGCGAAAAGTTGGGAATTTTGTAAAATTGTCACTTCAAAATTTGTGAACTGTTCAAGACTGTTCTCTTACTTGGGAGAAATTAAACTTTTTTGAAGTTTTCAAACAACTCAGAATTTCAAATTATGGGATCTCCAACCTTCTCCTGGTTCTTTTCCTTTAATTATTACCTCTCCCTTTCTTTTCTTTATATTTTTAATTTATATTCATTTTTTTACTATTATTTTTTTCTATCTTCACGGCCCTAAATTTCCCAACTTTTTCCCAAGTAGAAAAAGCAGGGGGGAGGCTTCTCCCCCCCATGGCGACGGCCCTGAGCGTCATATATGCCTTTCGACGGAATTCAAACAGGTCCATTAAAATTTGGGAGTATCATTAAAAGTTCATTTATTTGTGACCCTGTAAGGTAACTTCATGAAATGATTCTAAGAAGTTGAAAATAAATTTACGCTTAATTAATGTAAACAAAAGTTGTTTTTTATTTTACAAAACTATTTTCTTAACGTTAATGTGCAATACTTCAACGAAGTGCAAACCTCGGGTGTATATGAACTTATTGCAAATACATTTTCGTCGCTAGAACAAAAACACTATCTCCCGACCCGCATTTCGCTAACCAAGTTAGCATAATCAGATGATTCAGACTTAATCCTCTTTCTATCTACCTAATGACAGCACGAAACAAAAATGCGACCTGAACCTTCAAAAAGACCCATTTCGTGAAACAAAATCAATGCAATTGACATGTTTCTGTCATCAAGCCTGTCGCGTCGGTTTGTCAGGCCGCTTGATTTTTCTCGCGCGATAGTTTTGATTTTGCGGGAAGCGACTTTGTTTTAAACTATGTAGTGATAATGATGAGTATGAGTTGTATTTTACTGTATTCCCTAAACTTTATATTCATAAATTACATTGTCAATATGACATTATTTACAGACAACACAGTATATGTTTGATTGATTGATTTGCCGTGATAGCAATACTGAGATCAGCTAAAAAATGGTTTCTATAGACTCGAATTTGAGTATTCCCATATATGAAAAAATCTCTATCGCATTCTCTTACCTATAACAAGGAAAACCAACGAAATCATCCCGATCAACAACAAAATCTCCGTCCCGGTACCACCACCTTGCGCAACTGGGGGTACAATCTCCTCGGCCATCCTGCCTGCGGCTCCTCTAAGGATGCTCTGCCTCAGTTCCTCCTTGTTTTCCTCGCTGAGGCCGGACAGTTTTTCGACGGCCGCCAGAAGTTCTTCCGGCGTGGGAATTTTCCCGTCGGGTAAGCCGAAATCTTTCGGGGGCACCACGTCGTCGGACATAGTTGAATACAGTGAGTTCCACGTATGTGGTATATTGCTGGCGTTCGGGTACTGCTGTTACGTAAGACGATTGGCTCGTTAGTTTATCGGCACGTATGGGAAGTACCCATAGGCGTAGGAGGGGTTTCATTGGCGAATCGAACAGTTACCAGAGAATCTAGTTACATTGAGATTTTCACGAAACACTTCACGAAACGCGCCACACGTTCATAATACTACAGTCAGTGTGAACAGTATCATCAAAGAACTCATCTAGCGCCAAGAACACTTTTGTAGCAAAAAGTATCATCGAGTTTTCTTGAATTTTGATGAGCAGTTAGTATTTCTCAAAGCCTGTGGCAATTTGTTAGATAGTTTTGTTCCCCTGTACACATTCGAATATTTCACTAGGGAAGAAAGAGAGCGAAGAAAGCAGGAGTGGCAGCAACTATAAGTGCACTCTCCTCCTCCCTCACTCCACCTCCAATAGCAAGGGCACTTCCTGCGGCGGGCGCCAAGAGCTCCGCCTTGACTAAAGGCAAGGAACCGGCTGCCCCTGCGGGAAAGCTCCCTCACCTCCATGGAGGGAACCCCAAGAAGGTTGAAGAAGCCGCGCAACGACAGTAATGTCGCTGCACCTTCCAAAACCTTCGCGGAGGCCACCGTGAGACACCTCAAGGTTGCCAAAGAGAGTGTGTGTTCAGCGAGTCTTGGCCTAGGAGGATAACTCCTCGGGAGGATGTACTATGGGTCACATGTGGCCTAAGTGGTGTGAGTTTACACTCACCCTCCCTACTCTACATATACAGAAGTTATATTATTCAACTTGGCATACAGACCATTTACTGTCGTGGTTTGCCACTGCGGCAGATATTATCGAAGGCGATACGACAAAAGCCGAAGTGAACTGTCGTGTTAACATTTATGGTGGGACTGAATGTCGGACGCTCGCTTGGTTTCGATCCGACTCTTCATGAATTATTGGGAGAATATTGTGTTCTGAAGTGCCGGTATCCAGGTTTTCTTGACATTCAAACTCTGTTCCTAACGGTTGAGATTATTTTCAAGTATGGCCTCCCCGTCTAGCCGCAGATGAAAGAAAAACTCTGGTTTTATCAACAACTAGAATACCTTCTTTCTATTTGGTCGTTGAGGCAACTTCTTTCATGATCCATCAAACGAGTTATAATGTTTCTTTTCGTAATTCCGATATAGAAAGAGCCAGAACTACAAGGTATTCAGTACATGTATCCCTGGACATGAAATAATTTTCTATTATCTTAGTGATCTTTAAAATGGCTCAGTTTGGGTATCGCATGAAGGTAGATCCCTCCAACTATTGCCGCATCGTGTTCTATAACATCTATCGCAGTTGTAGATGAAACTTTATGCTCATAAACCTGCAGACTACAGCTAATTAACCCGAAAACACCAAATAATATGTTAGTCAGCGACACTGAAAGCCTACACACCATAAACTTGGCCTGGTTTTCGATAACGAGCTACACTGAGTTGGAACCCGTTTAACAAAATGCCCGCATTAAAGCTGCAGAGATATAATTTATTTCCTGAGGTTATATAAAGACGATATCCTGTACAACTGACGGCCAAGTGACTATATCATTTTCCTGCCACCGGTCGTTTAATTTCCTTGGGATTTGAAAAGCCCGGTCCAGATCACTAAGCCTGAGGATAAAGTGGGGAATGAGAAAAAATACCTGTGTGGTTCAAACAGAACTGGCTGGTATCTCAATCGCCACAAAAGAAATAACCAGGAAAGGAATTTCTGGCAAAAACATAACAATCTGCACCAATAGCAGACAAGCCCTATTAGCCTTTAACAGACAACGTGTTACCTCAGGGCTAGTACTAGAGTGCCACGAAGATTTAGCCAAAGCCTCGGTAGATAATAACATTATCCCGAGGTGGATTACAGGGCACGACATCAACGATATCAATACGACAGGGAACGACTGTGTCGTTCATATCAATCAGATTATCAACATAACCTGTAACGTACTAGTTGTGTGGATTTCTTCAAGTGAATATGAATAAAAATAGTTCTGGTTTTTTAGTCAGCAATGCTCAGCAGACTCAAAAACAGATGTATGGAAAACTTTATTCAGTGTCTCATGTTTTGTGTTCAAAATATTGAAGTTTGATTATTGAAATTCATTTTTGACAACTTTTTGGAATCACAAATATGAATTGACGGTGGATCACCATGCACCCATTAATGTGAGAAGTATTCTGCAGATCGAATTGAATCAGTTAAATTATTTCTTCACAGAATAAAATTATTATTGGAAATACCTTCATGAAAATTGACAGGTTGTTACATTTAGACGGCATCTACTTCAAAGAACTAATTCGTTAACAAAATAATTGCATAATGAGAACACATTGAGAAGCTTACTTTTTTTATTAGTTGTTTTGCACAAGATAAAATTTGTAGAATATAACAGAGAACGAACTATGATTTCATCCGGGTTGAAACAGATATTTTTTCAGGAATTGTGAAAAATGTCTTTCTCAAAGTAGAAAAATCGAGAGAAATCTGACGCAGCATTACTCTGAAAAGTAGATGTTTAGCAACTTTTGAATGCTTTCAAATTTACTGAATTTCTTTGGTACAGTATACGAAAGATGATAAGTCATTAAAAAAGTTACAAAGAGTTTAAAAAATCCAATAAATACATTTTCATAAAATACTGAGTAATAAAACTAAAGCAAACCCTTTTCCTTTTATTTCACCGCCGCCTATGTGATCGGGATAGTCATCATAAAGTATTTTGTTGATATGTTATCAGTTACACATTGAATATATTTTGAATATTATTGAAGTTTATTTAGTTTTACAAAGTATTTTGATGTTAATATAAATCATGATATAATAAATAATAAACAATTTACAACATAATCAGTAACACAAAGTTGCATTTAGTGGTGGCACCTTGGAATTGATATATTTTCAAAACAAATTAAAATTGAGAATATTTATATCAACATACACTTCCAGAAATTTATTTTTTTAGCATTTTCTCTGCAATGAATACAGTGCAAGGAATGATTGTCAATATTTCATATAAGCAAGTAAAACTTTAAAATAGATAGTATGCAAGGTACAACAAAACATTTTTGGTAAAAAACTTTTTAGCTTTCTATTTCTTCATCATATGAGGAGTGGAAGACTTCTAAAAAACATAAAAAAATCTCCACAATGATGTGAAGATCTCGATCAGAAATTTCTTTTAGCTACAAACTGCTATATATTATATATCTCCCTAAGTACCCAACTTTCCTTTTGAAAATCCATCATTAATGCGTTTATACGGGAAACATGTTCCAAACAGAAAAAAGGTATTATAAAAAACAATTTTGATGTATTGAAAATAGCTGTATGAGAAGAATTTAATCAAAAATTAAGAGTGATATATTTATTCCATATTCATTCAGTGTGATATGGAAAAAATAATTAAGTCTTCAGTTTAGGAAAATAACCACTAATGAATATTTTTTATTGTTTTGTTTCAGATACCAGGAAAATTATCCTTTGAAATAAACTTACTATGAAAAAATGAATAATTACATATTGTTCAAGAACTATAAACATAAAGTCACTGAATTCAAAATAGTTGAATGAAATTAACGTTATTTCATCATGAAGAAAATGAATTTGGATAAAATTTTGGAAGAAAAAAAATTACAATAAATCACAGCTGAATTTTTGTTTTTAGTTATAATTCCATTACTATTTTTGATGATTTTTCTGGCGCCCCCCAAAAACTGGTACCAAGGCGCGTGCCCCTACTGCCCCCCTGGAACTGGCCCTGATTGAAATCAACAGTAAAAGTTTTAAATTGTCAAAACTTTGAAATGAGTAAACAGAAAGAAGTCACATCTGAAAACTTGTTCAGATAAGAAACACTTGACCTTTATACGTTTTTTTTTCTTCAAAATAACCATATATCATTAGCTGAAATACAATGAAAACAGATATAAATCATCGACCTACATTCAAAGCACAATATGTACTGAATATTGTTTCATTTTCTTTCATGATTATCCAAAACTGACAAACAAAATAATAAGTACTTACCTGACAAAGATACTATCACTATCCCTGGAAGAATGAATACTGAATTTGAAAAACCATGCTCGATGGGACCGTCTTGACCTCCTCCTAAATCTACCATTTTCCGTAGAGAAATTTAGTTAATAATTTGGAATGTATAATTTGCCGGCTTAATTATTGTTTCCTGTATATTGTATATTGAATAGAATCTGTTGATATTGATGACGTTTCAACAAATTTTGACAGTAATGTCACAGTATGTCACTTCGTTACAGGGTTATCCCTCAGAAAAAAAATTCAGTAACAGCATAAAACACGAAAAAGTACTAGTTTATTAGGAAAATGTAATAGATTTTTAGAAACATATCCCAGATTCATACAGAAAGATCTATAATATATGAGCAATAATAGCTATATTACTCTATACAGTCTATACCCACAGAAACAGCATTCCACTTTCGGTTAAGATTCATTTTCAACAGTTTTGCCTTGTAGTTCACTCGTAAACTTTCAAGTAGAAATCTCATATTAAAGTGTGTTTTCTGAATACGTCATTTCTGTCTTCTATTTGACATGAAATATAAATGGTTGGTGGATATTTTGTTTTGATAAATAGTTTTCTTTGGATTTACGGTATGCGACTACAAAATCGTAGGATGCCCAGAAATCAATAAGATTATTTCTTCACATCAGTTTAAATAATATTATTGATACAATTGGTATATAAGTTTCTGCAGTCTGCGGAGCCTTAAAAACTATTACTGTGACTGGATATTGAGTATTTAAAATGACAGATTCAGAATCTCAGGATGAATATTGAAGAGCGTAATTGATAAAAAGAAGTAATAAAAAAGGTTACAATGTTGGTGCAACTGATATTTGACAATCTTTCAAGAGACTGTTTTGTTTTTGTTTAAATTTCAAATCAAGAACATGAACATGGAAACCTGTTGAATTGCCCAAAACTGCTTTTAAAAAGTTTCAGTGAGATAAATATGGACATTCAGAATGAAAATTGGGTAGAAAACCAAACGAACCAGCAGGATACATCCCTTCAATCTGCTATCATATCCTTTTTTGCAAATAACTATAATTGATATGTGGGTGATGCTTCCATTAAATTTCCTTTTGAATTCCTTAACATCGTCTCACAGTTCTTTAGCGGTCGAGAACGACACTAAACACGTTTTAGGAAATGTAAAAGTATGCCTTGAATATTTATCAACTTTCAGTATATCAGAAGTGGACACCACATTGTTGAAACAGGTCTTGCTTGCAATACAGAAAGGCTTACAAAAGGTAAATTTCAACAACATACCGGCTCGTTGTTAATGAATGTATACATTGTAGATTTATGATGATAACTCTCTTCTTTCCGACACATCCAATGATGACTTTGTCGTCAATATTCTGAAAGACAATTTACATGTAAGAAAATAGCACAGTTTTCCTCAGTTGTACCAAATTAACGTGAAGGTTTCAGATGGCTTCAGATTTTCTGCAATTGATGAGGGTTATTTTTGAATTCGTGCTTGAAAATAACGAAGTTAGGCTGAGTAGCGTGAAGAATACGACCTTCACCTCTGCACAAGTAATTCTATCTACTTTCGATCATTGCAAAAGCAGGTAAGGCCTAGAATGTAAAATAGACTTGAAAATTGGAAAAAACGTAGATTTATTTCTTAAGAAATTGGTTTTATAATGAAATGAATAATCCAGAAAAAGCTTAACATGGTGTGCAACAAGGGACTGTTTTGGTCTTTAGTTATTCCATTGATATTTGATATTCACTAACTTCCAATAATACTACTCATTTAGTCAACCGCTATGTGAACGTTAGTTTGATTCCAACTGTGGGACAATCAACGTACACTGTGTATCATGTAATTAAAAGGAAAACATTCATGCTGAATATTCTCATTTTTCTATCACATGAAGGGTTAGTCTTTTGGAAAAAAACTTTCTGGCTATTCACTTCTCCATCATTAAACAGTGTCGGAAACTTACAAAACAAGGAAGAAATAACTACTCTCACGTGCACATTGAAATTCATGAGAGGAAAACATCCCTTTGAACTACTTTTCTATGAACATTGAATTACATGAAAATCTATTTTTCTCATTCAGTTTGTAATCCAAACATTGGTTATGGTATTGAAATTCATTGGAAGGCTATACAACGTAATATATGAAACAGCATTGATATAAAATATCACTTGAGTGGAACACTTACCTTTAATGTGTACTTCGGTGTTTTGGGACAAGACACTTGTCTTTAGTGAAGAAAGTGGCCAAAGAAAGTCGATAAAAATTGATTTTTATTCACAATAAATGACTTTTTTTCAGTTTAATTTTTGATACCTGCTTTCATATTTTTTGATGAACTGCCCCATTCGATAAGAAAAAATAAAATTTCTCGTTATGAACAATAATGAACAGAATTGACTGAATATTTATTCTGTTACAGAAATATTTGTTTTATTTTTATTGTCATTATATTTAATTGCTTTGTACTTTATTATTATATGTATTTTATAGTTCTGAGGATTACAAAGACACTTTCAGAGAGGATCTTCTGGAGATTTTTCAGAAAGCACAAGAGCTGCATTTGTTATTTCTGAAAATGCTAGAGACCTGTGCAGCTATAGATCTATCAGAAAATAGCGATGAAATATTAATTTTAAAGCAAGGTAAAGTTCGTTCATTATTATTTTTTCGTGTTGAAAACTTTTTTGCTTTCTTTTCTGGGGTTTCGTGCAGTTTTAGAAACAATATGTGCCCTCAGTATAGTTCTGTCAGACCTGAATATGAAATCCTTGATCACAAACTGGAAGGGATATATAGCCATTGCTCAAAAATTTTCACATGTTTTGATTGACTACATCGATATCAAACTGCCTATCAACTGTCTGACATCGGAAATAGCAAGAACCCTTTCTTCCCTGCATGAAATGGTGAGTAAATTATTATTTTCACCGACTCAAAATTATCATTTTTCATTGAAGTTTAACACAAACGTTTTTAGGAATATGATGATCCAAGAGTGGTGCAAGTGATACGGAAAACAGGGTTTTTGGTAAAAGTTGTTCTGAAAATTTGTGATATATTTTGGGATTGTATGGAGAAAGTGTGTGAAACTGTCCTGGACTTCAATTGCATAGTTTACAGGTATCTGTTCAGTGATAACTTAACTGAACTACTCACCAATAGATGGCAGAGTCGTTCAGAAGTGTATTCAATTCATCTTATTTAAAATCACAGTTCCTCTTGGACAAATTGTTGAAGGTACATTTGGATTTTATTTCAGTAAACCTCCAGAGTACTTCGAGTCCTTTGGGTTTTCCGGAGATATTATTTCATTGATAGAAAATTCAATTTTTACATCCCTAGTGCCCTTTGTATCAAGGCTGGTAGTAAATGATGCCTTCCTACAGGTAAGGAAACATTTGTTTTTCTTAATGTCATTTATTCAATCACATTTCAATTTCTCAACACGAAAGTTCGTATATTTTGCTGTCCCTGTAATAGATGTCAGCACCACGTTTCAAAAACTGATTGAGTAAATGCCTGGTTTAGATAAAATCTGGTTAAAATAATCACACATATTTTTTATTCGTTTTAGGTGTTGTCTAATCAAAACTTTCCAGCTGATAAGTTTTCACTTGGACTCCTGAATTTCCTGAACGAGTTTTTAAAATGTGTGATAAAAAAAGAAAATGTTGACTGCCTGGATCATGTAATAAGGCTGATATTTACATCTACCAAAGAATGTATTTATTTCTTTTCTATAAATAAGAATATCATACCTTTTATCCTTTGAAAAAAGACAACGTTTATACTATCATTTTTTAGGCTTTGAAGAGTTTTCTTCACCTCTTTCCTCAGCCAGAAGTATTTTCCATAATCTGGTAATACATACAGCCGCCTCTGTTATAAACCATGATGGTTTTTATGCTGGGACTGAACAAATACTTTTAGAAAATATCCTTCAGGAAGATGTCTGGTGTGCTATGTTAGCCACCGATGTTTGGTGCCTTCTTTTAGGGTAAAGCCTTTTGTTAATCATTTCCAATATAGCAAGGCGCGTGTACAAAATTATGACACCCGACATTTCTGTTGGTATTCTTCATCAAATAGGCCATGCATTTGGCACATATGCCGTCAAGAAAGATTACTTTAGACACAAAAACAAAATTATACTGAGACAGTTCCGTCATGAGACAATTAGATTGAATGAGACAAAGACCACAAAGCAACTTATTATGAGACACATGACATGAAACAAAATATGACCTGTGAATCTAGGGGTGCGATGTTATAATAAAATTACACATTTTTGTCAAAATTTTGCATGTCTTTGCTAATCAAGGGTGTTTGGTGCCTTCTCATAGGGTGAATCCATACATTTTTTGGTATTCTTCACCAAACAGGCCATGGATTTGGCACATATGCCGTCAAGAAAGATTACTTTATCTAGACACAAAAACAAAATTATACTGAGACAGTTTCGTCATGAGACGATTAGACTGAATGAGACAAGTGTCCAAGAGCAACTTATGAGACACATGATATGAAACACAATATGATCTTGGAATCTAGGGGTACGAAATTGTAATAAAAAGACACATCTTTGTCAAAATTTTGCGAGTCTTTGCTAGCTGTCTTCCTTTAGGGTGAATTTGTAATATTTTTCATTTCCAATAAAGCAAGACGCTTATACAAAAGCGTGACACTCTGACATAACTGTGTTGGCATTCTTCACCATGAAAATTAAATTATACTGCGACAGTTTCTTCACGAGACAGTTGAATTGAATGAGATAAATATCTCATAACAACTTATTACGAGACACATTATGTGAAAACGTGATATTGTATCAAAGGATACAATACATCTACAAATTGGACTTCCGAAGTGAGAAATCGAATTTCTGAAACATATGTGATATAATGCAATTGATATTGTTATTGTATTAGGCTGCTATGTTGAGACTGTTGACTTGAATTAGGAAAACCACCTCTGAGAAATGTTTAATCATAACTTTCTACACGATGTTAGCATGTTATCAAACAAATGTAAATTGTCTGTTGAAAAAATAAGGTTGTCCCATTCAAAGTTGTCCCTCTCAGATACAATACATTTGTGCTGGCATTTTTTCCAACCCTGATATGTACTTTTTGGTATGTCCTTGAGCTTATCTCCTCAATCGTCGCAAAACGCCGTTCTTCCATGGGTCTCTTTAATCTTGGGAACAGAAAAATGTCGCAGTCGATTGGACTTTAGTTTCGATGTCATAACCAGTGCATTTCTTCAAGATCGCGACTGGGTGCCATCTTGAAAGTTTCATCTGAATATTTTCTTATACAAAAATTACATTTCCTTTATATCAAAAGTACAATTATTAAATGTGCATTGCATTAATGATGATGAATGTTCCTTGAACTATTCGGTACAACAGTCGAATTTCCTTGTGTTGATTTATATTTTTTTCTGCCATGGACACAACTGCCGTTGATGTACCTGGTCGCAAATCGGGTGTGGGTGTTATTTCAGCACTGCATTATTTAAAAAGTCACTAATATGTGCAGCTTTCTTGAGCGTGTAACCTTTTCCATTTTGTTTCAGAAATGTAATAAGTTTGATATATTTTGTAATGTCTACATTATTATTGGATTGTAAACATTCTTTTAATCATTGAATAATTCGACCACACTGTCGATGGCTTTTGTTATTGTGCCAGTTCCGAAAAATAAGCCAATAACAACGTCTCCGAGAAAGAACTGAATGTCTGTTTCATCTTCTATTCCATGAATCTTGAATACGCGGTTTCATAAATTTTCCGCGATTTAGCTGGCAATAATTTTTGTGACGCTACTTTCGCTGCTTCTACTAACTCTGGTGGAGTCAGAGAAAACTCGAAATTAGAAATTTTTCAAAATAACTACTGACCACTGAGTTCGCAAGTTTTAAATCAAATCACAGAATTAAATTGACAGATATTTGAATTTCTATTGATTGATTTCCTAGCAAATTTCACATCGATAATATTCTGATTTTAACATATTGTAATAATATGTTTTTTTCAATATTAAATCGTCTTTTATCCCGTCACAGAAAAAAATTGTATATTATACACGGGAAAAATATTAGATTTTAGCTCTCCCCCCGCTTCGCGTCGAGAGCCAACACAACCTCGAGCTAAAATCTAATATTTTTTCCCTTGTATAATAAATAACTATTTCTGACATGAGTAAAATCACCGTATGCCACTACATTTCGAGTATTTTTGAGTAATCTATTCCATTTTTTACCCAAAATTTGATGCAAATTATTTGATACATTTTGTTTTGCGCATTATATTCTATTGACAAAAATTTTTTTTTAAGTTTGATATATGAAATTTTTATCCCTTGATAAAAATTGTTCACATGATAATGATGTCGTGTAATCAGTTTTGAACTTCTCATACGTAACATGTATCACGTGTACATATGATTTGAATTAACATGGGTTACATTTGAACTAACACTTATCAAGTCGAAAATTAGTTTCAATGCCATCTAAATTTGACGTAATATGTAAACTGTTACCAACATTGAATATAATATTCTCTAGTAATGGACTTTGACTGATGGAGCATTTTATTTTAATAATGACGATCAGAAAATAAATCTTAATAAATTTTCACTTTTATATGATTATTGATGAAAAATGTTTGATATACAGTGTGGTCCACTAAGTGTGCAACAAATGGGAAACTTTTTTATTATCGATTTCTCAGAAAATTTTATTCTTGACAAAAGTTGGTGCATGTTCGAAAACTATATCAAGTGTACCTGAAATGGCTTTATGACAAACACCATACAGGATAGGCCAAAAAATATAAAGTTCGTTCAAGAGTAAAGTATCCTTATTTCATAAAATATAGAAATATGTTGAAGAGAAAAGTTGCTTAGAATTAAAAGTTATGTTCAGATACGAAGTCATGGCTTGCTATTCGATTTTTTTCTTTTGGAAAATTTTGAATTACCCCCGTATGATACACATTTTTACTATTTTGATTTAATAATTATTTGAAGTAGCCACAATCAAATCAGTTTGGAGAGTATTTTTTATCAATTTAAAGTGTATTTGTAAAATTTACTTGGATTTGTATTTTTTTAGGTGACCGTCAACTTCATGTTTGTTGCAACGATATTCAACAGAACTCTAGAATAAAACAAATACTCTTTTTAACGAGGCAAATACTTTACTAAGTATAATGTTCATATGAATAAACTGTTAAAATCTATCGCGGATAGCCATGAACAAAAAGAACCAATAAGCGATAGTACAGAAAAATACAGTAGGTAACTTAACAACTTAACTTAAACATTATGGAAGCATCTCTGTATGACCACCTTCTCTTTCGATGCATCTAATTGTTCGTTCATAAAATTCGTTAAATGTAGATCGCAACACTTTAGCGGGAATATTTCTGCAATGAACTCGTATTGAAGTTTCAAGCTCATCAACATTATTAAAGGGGCGATCTCTGTAGACTTTTTGTTTTAAGTATCCCCATAATAAATAATCTAGAAGTGCGAGGTCTGGAGAACGAGGAGGCCATCGAGGATCGGTATTTCGTCCTAACTATTTATTACGAAATGTCCTATTCAGCCACTGAGAAACATTTCTGGTAGAATGGGCAGGACATCCGTCATGTTGGAACCATAACTTTTGCTGTTCTTCTAATACCATATCATCCAAAAACTCTCCTATTTCAGTTTCCAAAAAGTTCAAAAAGTTCCAATAATAAAATTTGGGTTGACATCTTACCACCATCTACAATTTTGAGATGATAGAACCCCATTTGTTGTAAAAGTAGATTCATCTCTAAACAGAGTACATCGATGAAAATCTCGTTGTTCTTCTATTTCACTCTGAATCCATATGGAAAAATTATATCTAAAATCATAGTCTCTTTCTTGAAATGTACAAATGAATGTAGGTTTGTAAGCATGGTACTTATGTTTTTTGAGAATACGCTTCACAGAGGGTTTTTTTGCCGGTATAATCACTAATTTCTTGGGTGGACTTTCTAGGATTTTCTACTACTGCTTGAAGTACGTCAAGCTGGTTTTCTTTTGTGCATACAGGTTTCGTACGCTCCGTATTATGTTTATATTCTAGTGAGCCGCTCTGTTTGAAATTTTTTAAAATTCTACTTACCTACACTTGAATAGCAAATGTGTTTGTCAATGCGCTTCGCGCATTGTTTTATAACCATCACCACAGATTAAAACTAATTCTGCCTTTTCAGTTAACGTTAATAATACTGGGCGAGGCATTTTTAATCAAGGACAAATATGAAAACGTTTTACAGGCAAGTTTCAAGAAGCCACCCTATCAAACTACAGTATTGTTTTTGGGCGTATGTGTTTTTTGTTCATGGCTATCCGCGATAGATTTTGAATTGTTTTTTGATATCTGTTCTAGTTGAGGCGACATTGTCAGAATAAAAGGAATTTTTTACTTTTATTGACAGTTTATTCATATGAACATTTAGTTAGTAAAGTATTTGCCTCGTTTGAAAAGAGTATTTGTTTTATTTTATAGAGTTCTGTTAAATATCGTTGCAACAAACATGAAGTTGGCGGTCACCTAAAAAAATACAAATCCAAGCAAATTTTATAAATACACTTTAATTTGATAGAAAATACTCCAAACTGATTTGATTGTGGCTACTTCAAATACATATTAAATCAAAATAATAAAAATATGTATTATACGGGGGTAATTCAAAATTTTCGAAAAGAAAAAAAATCGAATAGCAGACCATGACTTCGTATCTGAACATAACTTTTAATCCTAAGCAACTTTTCTCTTCAACATATTTCTATTATTTTTTGAAATAAGGGTACTTTACTCTTGAACGAACTTTATATTTTTTGGCCTATCCTGTATGGTGTTTGTCATAAAGCCATTTCAGGTACACTTGGTATAGTTTTGGAACATGCACTAACTTTTGTCAAGAATAAAATTTTCTGAGAAATCGATAATAAAAAAGTTTCCCATTTGTTGCAGACTTAGTGGACCACACTGTATGTGCTTCATGAAAATTCCTTCGTTTTCAGAAAATCGACGGAAACTTTCCGTCTCGAAACGTTTTTCAACCTGGTAAAAATTTATAAAGAATTAGATTTCGGTACAAACACGCACAGATTGGAGAAAATTTATTTGAGAAATTTCATACGGAGGGTTTTCGGTTTTTTGCCGGAAAATTCGAAGAATGAAGCGATAGAAATTACCAGAAGGAATGGTATCAGTTTGTGGAAAATTACGGGTTTTGAAAATTTCCCTGCACAAAAGCGACAGCTAGTTGAAGATGTATGCACTTTGACTGTGGAGAAAATCGGCCGCATGGACAAGGATGGTTTTGGAATCGAGGAATTTAGGAGTATTGTGAGTGGAATTTTTTTTTGTATCTGTAAGGAATGCTCGAGACCTGAAAAAAAAATATACAGGGCGTTTCACGAGGTTTCTTATGTTGCTTGATATTTTCAAAACATTTCTTATAAAGTCGATAAATTTTTTTAAAAACAAAGTATTTGAACAAACTGGGGAACATATACAGTGCTTTTCTTTAATGTCCCCCCTTTTATTTTTTAAACGGGTCAACTCAAAAAATTTTAATTTGGGGTAATGAAATTAATGCATAAAGACTGTATTTTGAAGTGAAATTGACAGATGGCACTTTCAAGATGGCGACTGGGCTCCATCTGGGGAAAAAAATTAAAGAAAAGGGGGTTTTGTGACACATTATTTTGAAGATCCTGACAAATACTTCACAACACTTGCAAAATGCAAAAAGTTGCAAACATTTGAAAAACTATTATTCTGGGTCACAAGATCCTTTTTTGGAACTTCTGTCCAAGGGCACCGAAAACAATGATGTAGGGCTAATTCGATTCGGAGTCCTCCAGCAACTTTTGGAAAAATTTCAAGAGGGAGATTATTAATAACAAAAGTGGAAAATCAAAATGTTTCAATTTTTCCAACGGGAATCTTTTTTAAGGCTTTGAAGAGAGGCTCCACGTCAACATTTATAGTTTTAATTTCGAGCTGAAAATTGAAATTGAAACGGGTAGAATCCCTAGAACAATTTTTTTTACCATTTGAAAATGAGTATTAGGCACAGAAAAATCTATATTCTATATTTTCTAATGAAAAACCCGGGGTTTTCTCATTCCTCAGTGCTATTGTTTGAGTGCTTTAAAAAAGATCCTCGCTGGATTTCCTAATCAAATGACAGCTTGCTCAGGTTGTCGTTAAATTGGTACTTGTGAACCAGAAAATAATTGGAATTGCTGAAAAAACATGTCCTATATATATAACAACTTTTTTACTCTGCAAAAATCACCCAGTAGAGTATTGTTCACCATTCAGTCCTTTCCTAGGTAGAGAATTTAGAATCGTTATCGTCCGCAAGTGTTCAAGATATGGGACCGAATTCCAAGAATCTGGTCGACGCCATAGGCATGTTCTGGGAATCCAGCTATGTCCTTTTGTCCAATAATGTATTCAACTATTTTATCAGGGCACTCTGCAAAATGACAAGAACGCTTATCTCGGAATTCGACAATAGACAGTTATTCACGGTGAGTAAGCGAAATGCAGTTGTTGAAATTCTTTCCCTTTATTTTAGAGATTATCGCCAATCGTTCATTCCACGGTGTTATCAAGCTTTGTGGTTGGCGAATTTTATTTACTTTGCCTCTAGTTCAGGAAGTGGCCGGCGTTTCCGAAACCGTTGAATGTTTATCAAAGCTACAGGATGCGAATTGATTAGAGGATATTCTTGCCTTTGCAGGAATTTCCATGGGAGATCGTTATCAGCATATGGTGCGGTTTCTCAGAAATAAGTTTGGTAATTAACTAAAAATTGTTGAAGTAAAACCATTGTTTAAAGTGTATTCATGAGCGCAGGGGAGCATTGCCGGCCCTCTTTTGTTCGTCATTTATTTGAACGACTTATGTAATCTAAACCTAAACCAACGTCAGTTCAAAACTATCTTCGCAGATGACACAGGTCTGTTGTCAGGTGGTGAAACCTTCCCAGAGATGATGGTAAATAGTATAGATCTATTCAACAAAACTAAGGACTGGTTCAATCTATGCGATTTATATCTATGAATGACTAATGTTCATTTATAAAAATTCACACCTTCACTGAGAATATACCTGCACATAAGTATCCCACTAGAACAAATGAATATGTATCCCCTTCATAGACTAACGGTAACTGAAAAAAGCGCCCACTATATGGTAATCAAGCTTTTCAACCATCTTCCTAACAGATTAAAACGAACTAAGAAAATTGAAGTTTTCAAAAGAGAACTAAACAAATTTCTAATATACTTAGAGCTCTATGATTGAACGCATATCTCACTGGAACATTCATTTAAAAATATTTATAACAAAAAAATCTGTACCAATTCAATGCAACGAAAATCCAGGCATCGGTTTTCTTCAAAAAGATAAACCTCTTCAAACCGTCTGTCCAGGACAGACAATTCCGCTTTCTGCTTCGATGAGTTTGTTGGGGGTTAAAATGGACACCAATATGTCTTGGCACAATCATGTCGCTGGAATTGTAAACGCTGCTTCTCAAAAGTTTGAAACACTGTTCAAAACCAGAAAACTGCACACACCTCATGAACTTTTGATGCTTTATAAAGCTCAGATCAGATCTTCTTTCGAGTGTTGTTCTTCTGTATGGAGCTTCGCCCCTAAGCATACCCTGAAGCTGCTGGATTCCATCTAGAAAAGACCCATCCGTCTGATTGTGGACACGAACATCACTTGAAACCTTGATAGCCTGGAACATCGACGAAAGGTTGGAGATTTGTCTCTTTTTTATGGATACTCTTACTGTAGGTGTTCAAGTGACATTTGATTCCACCACATCGTTTTGACACATCGTTTTGACACATCGTTTTGAGACATCGTTTTGAGGTTCAACTCAGTACACCTTGAACTTTACTGTTTAATAACTCTTTCATTTGAAAAATTGCGTTCACGTGGAAAAAACTTGCTGAGAACCTTTTTCCAAAGGAATACAATCTCCAGCGGTTCAAATCCAACGTTAATCACTACTTTCGCACAAGTACCGCTCTTGGAGCACCTTAAAGATTTATCTGAAGTGCTTATGTTTTATCCTCAAAAAAAAACAAAAACACTTTTTCCCATTCAGTTTGTATTCCAAAGATTCGTTGTAGAATTGATTCAGATATCATTTACAGGAGAACTACACAATATAGTACCTGAAAGAGGTGAAATTTCATTCACTTGGAACACTGTCATCCACGATGACGGACATTCGATGTTTTGGGATAAGCCATCTCTGTAGCTGAAGTTTTACAAAATTATATCAAATTAATTTGAAATCAAGATACCAAAAGCTGCCTACAGCTTTTGATTTAAGATCAGTTTAAGGTTATTTTACTAGTTCACTTTGCCCACTGTCGCTGTCGTGCCTGACTGACTGAAACGTTTCCCAAATAAGATTCTGAAAAACGAGTAAAAACCTCACAATTTGTCCTAAGTAGATCATTTTTCGTGGTTGTTTCAGATCCTAAACCAGCTAAAAATGTTCTCTGCCGAAGACGCTTTCAAGCTCTACGTATGCGAAATACTCTCCTCTCTGTCAGAGAAAAATACCAACGAGTTCGGCCAAGACCAGTTCAAAATATTCTCTCTCATGTCGGGTGTCCTCTATCCTAATCTCATCACCTCCTCTAACATCATCATAAAACAAAGTGCCCTGGAGCTCGTCGAAAAACTTGTCGCGAACGACAAAGAGGATGTTGTTAGGGAGACGATGAATGCTTCTAGCGAGGTCAAAATCGAGATCGTCAACTATTTACAAAAAGAGGTCGCTTCTAAAGCTGTCGACAGAGACTACTTCAGATCGCTTGGTGAGTTGGAATACACCCACCAGTGTGTCAAGTGGCAATCCGGGAACATTGTGCAAGTTTCTAAACGATTCAAGTTGGATGAGGTCCCCAAGGAAGTCAAAGGGAAGTCTGCCAAGGTTCTAAAACCCAAGGTGAGAGCAGCAGAGGGAAAACAACGCTGCCAGCAGAAAGAAGCTGCTGTTGATGGAGCTGATGAGGATAAGACTGATGTAAATGAAGCTATAGCTAGTATAAAGAGTGAAGTTAAGTGTCTGATGAAGGTTTTGAAGACGGAGAAGTTGACGCAGAAGAATGTGTCCGATTTGAAGCTGATTTCTAATCAGTTGTTGTCTCTCTTGTGAAATTGTTGAATAAAAAATACACAAATACTGTGAATTTGCGTAGTAACTTACCAGGGTGAACAAAAAGTTTGCCCATTCTACACCTCCATAAAGTTCTCCATTGAAATTTCAATTTTTTGCGGTTGTGGATCAAATGAATAGAAACCTTACCTCGGATGGTTTTATGAGTAAAACATGGTAGTTGCATATCTTGTATATCAGTATATCAGTTGTATATCTACTTGCAAGTTTTATCCATTTAGATTCTTGGAATGTTGTAAAAAAATGTATTTTGAATCTTTAGCAAATCAAACTTTCCATGGACAACATAAAATAAAAACTGAAAGTAAATAATAATCAATTTCGACCTTAAATTAAATGTGCAAAATGTCCACCTTCTGATAAAATACAGACTGCATTCGATTTGTTATTGTTTGTCTGACACGTTCAAAAATACCCGGAGTATTTCATATGACATTGCAATACTTGTCAATTATTCGATTCCTTAAATCATTCACATCTAGTACAGGAGTTTTATAAACAAGAGCCTTCAGATGACCTCATAAATATAAATCTGAAGGATTCATGTCAGGACTGCGAGCTGACCAATTTAGAGGTCCTGCACGTCCAGGCCTGCGATTAGGGTAGGTGCTGACTAATTTAGAGGTCCTGCACGACCAATCCAGTGATTAGGGTAGGTGCTGACCAACTTAGAGGTCCTGCACGTCGGATAGGCAAGGTGCAAGATTCCCACTTTGATACCCGCAACAACCTTCCCATATGAGGGTTTTTGCACGTCAGCTACACTTGACGATGCTTTAGATTCAACTGAGCAGGGCTTTTTCACCTCTAGTTTTGGTGAATCATCACTTTAGCGCAAACGTTTGCTCATGGGGGGTTTGTTCCTCCACCTGAGACATATTCTGCGTACGCCGTTCAAGAATTTGGTGCAGTTTATTGGATCAGGAGTTGGGGAGTTGAGAAGCTTTCGCTCCTGATCTAAATTTACAGGGAGGTCAGTTGGAGTCGTATTTTCAGTTGATTTATCTAAAAAATAATAAAAACTACAATACCAGTGGCGTACTTTCTTTCCAATTATGATACCCAATTTTTGAGCTAGTTAGGGCTAAATGAGCGCCTTATTACTTCGAATAACTGTAGCAAATTTCAACCAAATCGGTGTAAGACTTTTTATTATATTTTGTAAATACCGTTTTTTTAAACTTCAACTCTCTGTACCTCAGAAACGAAGCAACTCCGGACAAATGTTCCCGGAGGTTTCTTTTCGACTTAAAACGACTCTCTGAAGTTTCGTACCATAGTTAGGAAACACTCTGTATATCAGCCACAGTAGATTAGTAAACGTTGTTGGAATAAGTGAGCCACACAATCAAAGTTTCAATTCAACGTTAAAAATGAAGACTATCAGCCTGATATAATTCAATACCCGTAGAGGTTTAGCCAAAGAAATACCTAGTTGTTATTCAACTGACATCTGAGATGTCCTCTGCTGTGTAGTATTGAAAACATCGAATAAACAACTTTTGAATCTGAGTTCGAATCGATTGATACTCCTACTTTACTCACACTTGCGGCCCCTTATTTCATATGCGCTACCTTGAAACCGGTATAAATTTTAAAACAGTGCTAGACAACTTTCATTGAAATGCATAACGAGGTTTTTCTTCGGGGTTCGCAACCATAAACATTATTTCTAAGGTGGAATTACATAACTGTCTCGTGCCTACGCGTATTCATTTTTGTTGAAACAATGTTGCAAACGAATGTTTTGGCATTAGAAACGTTTTATTGTTCGCCATTACCTTGTTAATGCTCGAAATGCGGGTGTTATGACTAGGTCACATTCGATTTTCTAGGAAAACGAGAACTGCTGACAAGCATATTTCTTGTAGTTCTCAGTAGTTACTTCAACCGTTGTTTAGCACCGAAGTACTTGTTTTAATTGAGAATTTGAAGCTTTGGAAGCAAATATAACATTAATTCTTGCGTACGGGCCATTAGATTGTTCGTTTTAATGCCATGCGTTTTTGTAGCTCCATATCCCAATAAATATTTATTCTACTGTGTCGTGGTATACTGGGCGTTTCAACGAAAACTTGAGCCCCCCTGTAAGTCAGAAACGGACGTGTAATGGAAAATTTCAAAGAACACGTCAATTTTATTTCTAGGGGGACAACAGTTAATGAATAAATTTCGAACTTCAGGTTCTGTTCACAACAGAAAACGTGAAGTATCCCGTTCTGTTAGAAATGACGGAGTTGAAGTTGCAGTTTTAGGACATGTACAAATTGATAATCGAAAATCTATCAGACAAGTACCTAGCTAGAGCATCTGGTGTTTCAACTACTAGTGTTTTTCAGATTTTGAAAGCCTACAAATTCCATTCTTTCAAAATGAGGCTAGTTCAAGAATTAAACGAAGATGATCCTGATCGTCTACTTCTGTTTTGTGTAGGTGTTCAGCGAGAAATTGACCAATAACCCAAACCTATTATAGAATACATGTTTTTCAGACGAAAGTTCTTTCATTTGGAATGGTGAAGTGAATAGACATATAATTGTCGTTGCTAGAGCGATGCTAATCCTCATTTGGAAACACATTCACAAACTCCACAAAGATTTAATGTCTGACTCGGTTAGTAAAAATTGTCCAATACGAACGCCAATTTGACAGTACACGTGAACTAGTTCGCAGCTGGTTCATTTCTATGTATTGATTTTTTTGGCTTTTGAGAGTGCCGCCAACTTTAAGTATGCACAATATCGTTTACTTCGACTATATATGTAGTGCATTAGTCGGTTGCCGTTTGAAATATTGAAATAATGGGCAATACTTTTGATATTATAACTGACGTCAGTATCTTTTTGAAGGCGAATAATAACTTTGACACACTCAACGAATCATTTCAAGTACGCAATTAATTTTTCTTCTGAGTCAAGGTTGACCAATATCGGAATGTTCAACCGCAATGTCACCAGATTAAGTTTCACACTTTTCGATTGAGAAATTATCAAGAACTGTTGTACTTAGTACACGCATTTTATCTTTCAAGACTTTGGAAATTTCGAAGACATATACGTGGAAAAACTTGGTAACTTTTGATTTGCTGTTTGGAAAATTCGAAAATTGAAGTCAACGCGAACAAAGTTTAGTAGGTATTAGGAAGTATAATTTATTTCGGTCTATTCATGGAGACTATTACTTTTGAAGAATAACCACCGTGGTTTGAAGAAACCACACATCAATGAATCATTTCAAGTTTGAAATTAATTTTTTATGAGTCAAGATTGACCAATATCGCACTGTTCAACCGCAATGACACCAGATTAAATTTTAGACTTTTTCGTTGAAGAATAATTCATTAATTGTTTAATTCATCAAACTCTCCAGCTTTCAGAACTTCTCTTATTAGAAATTCATTTGAAATGTATGTATATGTAATAACATTGGAATAGCAAAACCATTTTGATGTTTACATTTATTTTCCGGCCATGATTTTAGGTTAATTTGAGAGTAACCGTTGGAAAAATTTGTAATGATTTCAGAGTTCTGTATTATCTTATTGAAAACTTTTTTCTCCCCGTTTGAATTTAGAATTTGGGTGACTACCTAAGGTACTTATGGCAAGAAGCGGTATTGGGGTCATTTCTGTCTGTTGAAATCCGTTTTTTCGTTAACCAGCTCTTGTTCCCCTATGAACGACACCTATAAAAAGACTAACGAGGTCTTACCTTTTAACGTTTGATTCCTAACACGTTCCTCAGATGTAGGCAATAAAAGCGGAAATGCTTTTTTGAAAACATTCTTCAAGTGTGGGAGAGAAAGAAATATATTATGAATTCTGGTCTCATTTCGTTTTTCAATAAGGTGATGAAGGTGACGAATTCAAAATTTCCAAAACTGAAGGATTTCGATTAGTTCTGCCAAATTAAGGGAAAGCTAGCAGAATCCAGTAAGTTAAAAAAAAAACAAAATATGAAAAATCGGCGATAGGGGGAATATGAGCATACTAGGTTCAATATATCTCTAGTTCGGACTTCTATTGTCTACTATATAAAATGATTTGAAATCCCTGAAACAACTAAAAAAGAAGAATTGAAAATGATTAGCTGAAAATAACAATTATATTAACCAAAATGAAATGATAGTGAAATAAAATACAAGTAAAAATAGAATAAATGAATAAATAAAAATGAAGAAATGAAAAAAGAAAATAAAAATTAAAAGTGGAGAGATTCCAAGTCACGTTAGTTCACGACGTTTCGATTGTTAGTATCTACAATCGTCCTCGGGTGATGATTGGACTGATTCCTCCGAGAGGTGACTATTTATAGGTCGTTCGAGTACTTTCACTTATCCCCGCTTTCCATTTTCACTGGTTCCGTAGGAGATGACCGTTTTGGCGGGAGTTGACCATTTTTCGCTTGATGATGGGTTTCCATATGTTGCGTATTTCCACGCTGGCTTGGCTGAATACGTTGTTGGACAACATGTATGCGACTTTCTTGAATTTTCTCCTAAACCAATGTTCCTCTCTGTGCAATATCTCAGCTTGGGACCACTGGATGTTGTATTGATGGGTCCAAACATGGTCTGCTATTCCTGATTTGCTGGTTTCCCCTCGCTGTGTGTGTTTCTTGTGCTCGGCAATGCGAAAATTCAATTGCCTCTTAGTTTCACCAATATAGGACTTTCCACACTCACAGGGTATCCGGTAAATGCAATTCTTGGAATCGCAGTCCGCGTTTGGTGGCCTGGTTTTTGTGAGGCTCCCTACGGATAGTGTTACCGGATATGAAACAGGTTCCGATGTTGTACTTGGAACCAATTCTTCTTATCCTCTCCGATAATCCTCTGATGTAGGGAAGTGCAAGCACTGGTTGTGACGGCTTCTCTTCCTTGCGAGACTCCTGCTGTCTTCTAGCCAAAGTCTTTTCTACCATCGCTTTGGAGTAGCCATTCCGTTGAAGATCATTTTTGATAATGTCTAGTTCTTCTCGAGACCTTCCTTCGTATTACAAAGCCCAAAAGCACGGTCTAATAGAGTCTCGATGATTCCTCTTTTAGTCGATTGATGGTGGTTGGATTCGTGGTTCAGATACTGTCCCGTATGAGTGGGTTTTCGATATACAGATGTTTCCCACTTAGTGTCGGTCCTCTTCACCAAAACGTCTAAGAATGGCAATTCGTTGTGGATTTCCTTCTCCATTGTAAAATTGATGGAAGGTCTTACGCTGTTTATGTGTTTCAGGAAGACGTCTAGTTCAGTATTCCCATGGTTCCATATTATGAAGGTGTCGTCAACATATCTCAACTAGACTCGAGGTTTCTTGTGGGCTTCTTCAAAGGCCAGAGTTTCAAACCACTCCATATATATGTTGGCTATGACTGGTGAAAGTGGCGATCCCATTGGCAGTCCCTCATCTTGTGTAAAGAATTCGTCCTTCAGTTGGAAATAACAGTTTCGTACACAGCATCCTAGTAATTCCATGATTACTTCTATAGGTAGATTCGTTTTCTCTTTCAGGTTCCGGTCTTCGGATAGCTTCCTCTGTATGATTTGGAGTGCTTCTTCGACCGGAACGTTGGTGTAAAGGCTTTACACGTCGAAACTAATTAGTTGATCTTCATGTGTGACCTCAATTGACCCTAGTAGTTCGACAAAATGCCTTGAATTCTTCACAAAAGACGATGTTTTTCCTTGTAGTGGTTGTATTAAGGGAAGTAAAAATCTAGACAAGTTTTGAGTAGCCGAATTTCTGGAGCTGATGATCGGTCTAAGCGGAACGTCCTTCTTGTGGATTTTGGGTAGTCCATACAAGTGAGGGGGCTTACTGTGGTGCGGTGTTAGCGATGATCTTTCCTTGTCCGAAAAATAGACTTGGTGTTTTTTCAAAATCTGGTACAACTTCCTTTCGATTGATGCAGTAGGGTCCCGTACGATCTTTGTGTATCGTCCCTTTTGAAGAACCTCTTCGATCTCCTGTTCGTAGAAAACGGTATCCATTACCACAGTAGCGTTTTCTTTATCTGCAGGTAGGATCTTGATGGTGTTGTCTCTACGTAGTGTCACAATGTCAATCACCTTCAAACAAAGGTTCAATATATTTCTATCACTTCTATATCTGAAGAATGTTTCCAAAAATTTATCCACCCTACTGCAATGTTGGTACTGTAATGAAGGAGCCTAAAATTATTGCAAATTAAAAATTTCCAGATAATGAATGATTTCATGTTGGTTCTGCGAGTTTAATGGTAAAGCTAGCAGAACAATTGGAAAATTGATTATATTGAAAAAGAGGAGCCTAAAATGAGATTGAAATTATGACCAGCAAAATAGTTTTTCCACTCTGTGTTATCAGGCGTTCCAGTAAATGCTTAATATGCGAGTACATTGATAATATTGAATGAATTTCATTAGTTCCGAATTCCATTGTCTGATATTATATAAAATAATCAGCTCACGGAGGAATCGGTCCAGTAAAAATACTGCTCTACTTTGGTATCTTCAGTTGTTTATATGCTGAAAGAGAAATGTTTTGGATAAAAATCGTTTTGAATTAGATATCACGAATAAATTGAAGGCGATGATAGTTCACCTCACGAAGACATCACCTGGGGGACCGATAAAAAACTTAAGCCAAGAATATCGAAGATAAACGAGGCTCCCTAAGGCGGTCTGTTGAAAGCAAAGCCAAACTTTGGCACGACCACCGAACGAAATTCGCCCGGCAAAGCATTCAAAGTTCAGCCTAGTACAATTGAAGAGTCCTATGGAGGATTACAAATGCTTTGTTTCAGAGCTCGGGTTCTAAACATGGAAAAAAAAACAGTTCGTTGAATTGATACATTTTTCAACAATTCAATTATTTTTCGATTCAGAAATTTTTTTTTCTTCTCCAAAAGCTTCATTCAGTTTTATCATGGTCTCTTTTTATAGAAACATTCATTAATGTCGTCATTCATCATATCACCTGATATTAGGGTTAATTTTTTATATATAACTTTTATAACTTGAATATAAAATTCTAATTTACTTGAATGCCGTATTTTAAGAAAAATAGGTACGAGGAAATCTTTAGCATAAGTATAAGAGAAAATTGCTTCTGTTGATACTGACGTGACATTTTGAAAAACTTTTATATTAGATGTATTCACTAGAAAAGTTGATTGTGGATGAAAAAATATGTTTTATCTAAAATAATTTTTCTAATCGCCCAATTTTATGGTTCACCCTGTATATAGAACGGATTTATAATGAAAAATTGGTGTTTTTGATAAAGAAGACTTTCTTATCAAACGAAAATCCTGAACAAAAAATCACACACTGTATAATTGATAATAAAAAATTAATAAAAAACTATTGAAATTAACATACTTTATTTTTGTATCAGACGAAAAAGTGGCAACATTGTAACTCGACCGAAACAGCATATTGCAAAATAAATAAGCAACACTTCAAAAATTTTTGACAAAGCACCTTATCCTAGTAAAATATTATCATAATAAACTTTCAAAAGAGATATTTCAGGTAACAATATTTGTTTCAAGCCTAAATTCGTAACTAAGTACTATGTACATACAGTCAATACATGCGAAAGTATAAATATACAAAGAATCATTAAAAGGAAAATCAATCGCTAGTTTCGTTACAAAACTAAATCCAATCTTGGCACCTATTCAATTGGGAAATATCGAGTTTTTTATCGATGAAACGATGAATTCTTATCCAACAATAGATATTCTATGAGCTATTGATAGGTTTCATAGCTCATTTATAATACAAAGGAGTTTGGAGCCAAAGTGAACATCAACAAACTTCTATATAATCATCAAATCATCATTGCTTTACAACTGTCACATACTGTTCAATTTGAAAAAAGCCATTATTTTTATTCGATTCTCTTATGATGTTGATGATGCTCTGGCTGTATGAAACGTATATAAAGTATAACTGACTCAGGTGGCCATATAACAATTTTGTGTAGCAATAGCGTTTTCACCCTGTACAAATAGAAAGTTTTTCACAGATGAAAAACCGGCTCAGTGAATTTTGAAACTATGATATGGTTTTGAGATACAGGAAATGAAAATATTTCAGAAAAAAATTTGGAAATTGTAAGAAAAATATTGACGAACTTGCTAGTTTACAGTGAAGAAAATCCTGATTGAGGAATGAAAAATATATTTTTGAATAAATGATTGAACTTCACAAAGTTCTATTTGAATTTTTAAATAATTTCTTTTACGTGTTAGTAGTTTAGATCAAGAAGTGAACAACAATTCATCACCTTGTTTCTCACATAGTTAATTGAATAAGTCGATTAATACATTTGAAGAAATATGATACAATACTTTAAAATATACAATCCAAAAGATCTTTCACCAATGAATGAGTTCATCTACTCAATTTACAACTCTTACATCGTAGTCATTTCCATTATTTTATGACATAATCTCTTTCAAAATGGACTGCCTTTCTCACGAATCAAAATGAAATTTCAGTAATTTTTGAAAGATATTCTGTAATTTTTTGGTAAAAAAAGTCCAAGACTAGTTGCATATTGAATCTGAGATTACAGACAATAATCCTAAAATAATGAAAATTACTTTTACTTTTTTGATGTTTCTTGATAAGTTTCTTATTTTATTTAGAATTGATAATAATAAAGTAATTTCCATTATATACCAATCGGGCTTCATGTGCCTTCATCACGAATAAATGAAGATAAAACAATTTTTCTAAGCATAATACTGAACATAAACATTTGAAAGAGGAATACAATATAAAATTCGGGCAAAGAATACAACTGAAACAACAATAACCAGCTACACCGATTTTCACCACACTTTCCAATCATCCCCTAGAAAAATCCAATGGTAACTTCTTAATACCCGATTGTCCAAAGTCACTGTGTAAATATCACTATTTCTCTAGGCACTGCATATTTTCCAAACTAGTCCTCTCACAGCCTCAAAAGAATAGCCCCAACAAGAACAGAGATGCCACAGTTGGTGTACAGGATGCCAGCTCCTCCCTTAGCTTCTTCCTTGCTCTTTTCCCCAGCTTGTTTATTCGTCTTTGGGCCTTCTTGCGGGGTGGGCTCTGGCTTGGGAGCTGGGTCTACCTTTGGGTTTGCCTCTGACTTAGGGGTCGGCTCTGGCTTGGGGGTCGGCTCTGCATTTGGGGTTGGCTCTGCCTTGGGTGTTGGCGCTGGGTTGGAATCTGGATTTGCTTTTGGTATTGGCTCCGGTTTCGTCGTGGGTTCTGCATTAGGTTCGCCTGCTTTCGGTCCTCCATCTTCCTGTGGGTTTGGAGCGTTGGGGTTGTTGTTTCCCTGAGGGACACTGGGGTTTGTAGCAGATTCGGACACCTGACTAACAGGAGGTTCGTTTTGAGCGGCCCCCAAGCACAAGATAACGCACAAGACAGCGAAAACAGACACTAAACTCTTTAAACTCGCCATTTTGAACAGGAAATGGAGCGTGCTTTGTACGATTGCCGATTGTTTGCTGCGTTACGAAGTTGTTTCTGCGAGCGGTCGCGACGATTTGAGAGCCGATCGAGCGTGCTTTGTTAGACGTCTTTCAACTGTATGGGGCAACACCTGGCCGACTAGACTGACTACCTACGAGTTGAATGGAGAGGTACGGGGCTGCGTATAAGCTGCTCTCGCGGAACAAATGAACGATATAGTTCGTCGTGGGTCGCTTTTATGAGTCACGAGTGTTTCTCAACGGAAAATTGTGAAGAACGCGGTAGAGGAGAATTCCCAGAAGGGCCGGCTAACCGACGATGGACTCATGTTTCTCGTTTGGGTTATTTTGTACCGGTTCTTCGTGATTCTTTCTAGGTATTGTGTGCGAATACTACGAGTACAGTCTGGGAAAAAATCAACGTTCATCAATGGGAATTTTGAACGGACCACAGTTGCATATTATGTTAGAAAATGACTTGACTATTTCGTCAAGAAATGTTATTCAAATCAGCTAGTTTCAGGTTAATATGTGGGTAAAACTGAAACACTTTATTTATAAAAAACTCATGGACATAAAATCCTTACTTTTGAATCACAGGGTGTGATTCAAAAGTAAAAGTTATAAAGAAAAAACCTTTTCTTTATAACTTTGATAATTTTATGAAATGCATACTACACCATTTTCTGTAGTATGTTACAACATATTTTTCAATTCTTGCCACTGTTGTCTATGAGACATTCTGAATTATTTTAAAGAGAAAAGTGATAATCTACTGCGTGTCGTTGAAGCAAAACTTGTTTTGGAAACAATCATACCTTTTTCTGAAAATCTCTGGGTTCCGCAAAAAACACGGAACACAAACTGCCCTCTTGAAAGTAATCGACGATCTTGCGAGATTCAGAGATCAATCAAAAGTCATCATTTTAATACTGTTTGATAAAAGTAAAGCTTTCGATTTAGTTAATTTCGATTTACTCATCAGCAAGCTCAAGTTCATATGATTCGATGACATTTCTCTTAAATGGATGACCAGCTATCTCACAGGCCGATCACAGAGGGTTAAACTGGATGATTACTCATGGTCATCCCTAAAAGAAACAATCTCAGGTATACCGCAGGAAGTATTTTAGGACCCTTGATGTTTTCAGTGTTTATTTTTGATTACCCCACTTTCTTATCACATTGTCAAGTACATATATACTCAGATGATATTCAGTTATATTTGTCTTCTCATAACACCGATACAGAAAGTTGCGTGGCTAATATAAACACAGATTTGCACAAAACATTCCTATACTCGGAGAATCATAGACTGAAAATCAATCCAAATAAAACTTTGGTCTCATGCATAAGGTCTCGAAGGAAAACAGTAGAAACTCAGTGTAACTTTAGGCTTACTCTCGATAACGAAGACATTGACTGGGTAGATAGTGATAAAAATCTTGGCGTAATCATAGATAGCTCTTTGGCTTTCCATGAACATGTGACAAAACATTTCAATGTATCATTCTTCAAACTCAAATCGCTATATAAGTTCAAGTATTAGTTATCAGAAGAAATGAAACTCAGGTTAGTTAAAACCTTATTTACCCCCATATCGAGTATTGTTGTTCGGTGTATTACAATTTTTTGCCGCAATATAACAAGCAGAAGTTACAACGTATACAAAATGCTTGTATGCGATTTGTATGCTTGTATACCGTATGGTGAACATGTCACACCATTTTTGTTAAAAATGAAGAAGCTGAATGTGAGGTACAGAGTCCAATATTGGATAAACATTTTTTTTGTTTAAGTTGCTTCAAACTGAAACACCTAGTTATTTATATAGTTTATTAAGCAGGCATTCTAACATACGTATGGTCAATTTGAGAATTAACTCATTCAACATACCTAGGCACCGTACTTTCAAATTTCGAGGATGTTTTTCTTATATAGCCCCTTCTTATCTGAATGAAATTTTACCCCGTTCAAATCATAATATTCATCAATTTAAGAAAGAAATAAATTCACAGATGCTCACTACTCAGTGCTAATTTAAAAAATTTGAAATTCAATGTATGGTAGTGCAATGAAATTGTTAAATTGACCAAAATAATGTCAAGAATATTAAGAGTTGTTAGCAACTATATGATCTATTATTTTTTCTCTTCTTTATCATTATTATGATAGTAAAAAGTATTTTTATAGGGGTGGAAGATAGCCTTTGCCTAACACTTTTCCTTTTATGTATAACTGTATTTTTTATGCATGATAAACGATATTATTATTATTTCCTCCAGCTTCGGAGTAATGAATCATTTTCAAGTCGTTCCATAGACGTACAAATTTGAATGGGTTGAAAAGTGAAAAATGTAGTATTCATTTTAAACATTCAATGTTTTATGCTATAACTGTAACAAATCTCAGAAGATTTGTTACAGTTATACCTACATTTCATGTAGGTATACGGTGAGTAACAAAAATATCGAACACTCGCAATAACAATTAATGATATTTTCTTAATTAAACACCCAAATTTTGTTTTACTTCTGAATGTTGATCAAAATTTTCTTTGAAAAGCACTTTTGATTTCGATCGATCTAGAAGTGCATTAATTAGGTACTTTATTATACCTGAAGAAAATGAATTAATGATAAAGCCTTGCCTATTGATCAGTGTTGCAATTAGTGAATTATACTTAGCGTGTGAATTAAATGGCTACTTTGGATTTCTCTTCAGTGAAACGGATGAGCAAATGTGCTTTTTCTGTTAATAAATAAGGTTAATGTTCAAATTTCGTCGGCCACTTAGGTTCGATTAGAGTTTTTAATTTTTTTATGTTGGTACAGTCGTCTCGAACACATATTTATAGTTTTAGTTAGTGTTAGTGTAGAATGTTTAGTTTGTTGGTGAGAGACATAAAAGTTATAAATCAGGAATGGAGTCGTATTCTATGTAAATCGCGAAGCGCTTTTGGCTTTTACGCCATTATCAGTGCGATACCTGTAAGTAAGTAATACTCTTGAAATTTGCTTGAAGTTGAACTTTAAATCCTTTTTTGAATTACTCACTCGTCAAGTATATATACAAGAAGATCCTGTAACTAAACTAGCGGCTCTTAAGACTCGGAGTTGGTAGCAGAGCGACTTCAGAGATCTATTATATCTCAAATCAAATAAAATTTTATTCAATTCAGATTAATATAAAATATATACCAGGACTATAAATTACATCTATGAAGGATCGTGGCTATCTAAGCCGAGCTTGTGTTACAGCCACGAATCTAATACATTTGCAAACTAAGATAAACCTACTAATTGGTTCTGGGAAGTCATAGAAGGACGACCAAAATGATGAGCATAATAAGAGCATCAAATACGAAAGAAACAGAAACAACAGCTTGTGTCATTGTCTTGAGTGATTGCAGTATGGTGAATTAGTGAACTATCCAGTATTGTCTCCAATATGTGGTAGATGTGATTGATAAATGTTTTCAGTTCTATTTTCAATTTAGTAAAACTTCTGTTACTTTTTAGTGCCGGATAATTCCGAATGAACCTCGATGCTTTACAAAAACAGGAAGAGACACTATAAGAGAGCTTCTGGATCAATTCATAACTGAACATTTCCATAAAGGTGTCCAGAGAATTTTGGCAGGTGGCAAAGGAAGTGGTGAATTTCGAAAATCATCAGAGGGAGTTTGGCTCTGAGATACATATCTAAACCATGGACACCTTCATTCTGAAACCTGGAAAAATACCCACATAGCAATAGATATTCCAGGTATATTTCATGAATATACATTTAAGGATATTGTATTATGCTATGAATATGCCATGGATATATATATCTTCTGGAGAATATTCCCTGGAAGTGCTCCTGGCGAACCTTTGATATATTTTAAGAATATTCCTTGGGAATATTCTTGGAATATCTTATAATATTCTTAGAATATCTAAGGTATATTCTATTAAGAATATTCCAGGAATAGAACCCGAGGAATATTCATAAAATATTCAGGATATTCTTAGTTTATTGTAGGAATATACAATAGAGAAACACCATAGAATATTCTTTAAATATATTTTATGAATATTCTAGGAATATTTGGAATATTCCAAGAATGTGACGAGTAACCGCTATTAGGCATGTATATATTGCATTTTGATACAAGATTCACACAAGTAATAAAACACATAATATTCATAAACAAATATATTTTAAAAACAATATACACTGAAATATTTGACGT